AAATTTTAAATCTTACTGGCTACGAGCCGATGAGCTCGAAATTTGATTTAAGAGAGAGTGCTGAGGCCATTGAACCAAGTTCATTTGAATGACTTACTTCAAAGCTATATGAAATGACGTCGCCCAGCAACAAGAATGAACGGATCACAAACCTGTTGGTAGATCTTGCTTCAAATCTCTCTGTAGAAACTGGGTCACTCTGGTATTAACCTGGTCAACAGTTTCATATTGGTCATGTGACCATGTGTCTACTCCTTCTGATTGGTCGGACAGCAGACGCTCTTGGGTCTTGGTGAATTCTTCGAGCGAGTGTCCATGCGCGGCTAGTGCATTTTCTACGTCACTATAATGTTGCTTTATCTGTTTTTCGCATTCCTGAGTGGGAAAAAAGATACAGGCTTGAGTTTGTATTTTTTTCCCCTTACTCGTAGAAAGGCCACCTACAATCTCTAGAGAAATAAGAGGTAACACTCTTAAATCTTGTTACCTGGACTGAATTCTGCTGTTGAGATGAACAGCCCTTCAGTGTGTCAAGATGCTGTGTGAACGATTCTTCCAACATGTTTTGCCATTGCATGGCCAGCTGCGAAATAGCAAACGCAAGCTTCAGTAGAAGTAATCAAAATCACAACTACTATGTCAAAATACTTTCTTCACTTTTTATGCTTTAACTTAAAACACGGTCTATTATTTTTGCGTTTCCCGCTAGAAAAAAAACAAAACAAAACAAAAACAGAACAAAACAAACCAAATATCAAAACGAACAAACAAAGCGAAACAAAAACATAAAATGAAAAAAAGAAAACTATAAAAACTAAATATTATTAGTTCGTATACCTGGTCAACTTTGTGAGAGGCGTTTACCACACCGTCCTCGACTCTCTTATGAATGTTTGAAGTTTCCTGGATTTGTTCTGCAGCCTGTAGAGGAGAAAAACAAAGAAAATCTAAACCCTCTGAGACTGAGGATTGGAAAATACAGTTCTCAGAGCTACTTCCAATTACCTGTTTAAAACTTTTCTGTGCCTGGATAACGTTGTCATTGACAGCATGTTCACAGCTTTCAGAAAATTGTGACGCACAGTTCCTCAGAGAGTCACAATAACTAAAATAAAAGAAATACAGCGAGAGATTAAACAGACAAAATTAACTTTAAAAAATTATCACAAATTATTCCTAACACCAAAATCGAAAGCTGCCTTTGTTCGTCAGAAAAACAAAGTTCGTCCTTAGGAAAGAGCTGAAACGACATGACTAATGCTAGCAGAAGTAGACTTCGAGGCGCTATAACAAAGGGAAGAGCCTGTAATCCCTGTTATAGGAAAAAAACGGAAAATAAAATATCATGATAATCAATACAACCTTTCATTCATTACATTACCTTCTGAGATTGGTATTAGCGCTTTCTACTTGTTTTCGAGCCTCTGAAGTCACTTCTGTGACCTGAAGAAGTAAAATTAGCAGAAAAAATAATAATAAAGCAAGAAAAAAATGACTTAAAAAGCTCAGAGATTTTCTTTCAATTATTCTGAATTTACTAAACAAGAGATCTCTTACCTTGCTTGCATCTTCTGATAATTTTTCACTTTGTTTATCATTGACTTCTTGAAATAGCGACATCATCTGCTTGAAGAATGTCTGCTGGAGCTCCTAACATGGAAACGAGTATGAAAAATAAAGAGATTTCCACAACTGTAGCAGAACTTCCTGTCTTGTTCTCACTTGCCATTGACTTCACTGTTTAACAACTTGAACTGAACCAGGACATGGCAAAATGGAGTCTGGTTTGATAAAGAAATTGTCCATAAAATTTTAGATTGAATGTCTTACCTTTACAAGGGTTTTCTGGTTGTTTACCATCAAGTCTGTCTTACTCATTATTTCTCCCAATGCTTGAACCTGCAACGAAAGGAAATTAAGTCCTTGAAAAATTATAGTTACTGCAAACAATGTTTACAATAAGTCAGTGCAAAATAACCAAGTTTTACTAGCAATTTGAGCTTCAGTTTTGGTAACCAGTGCAGAGCAGTTTGGTCTCCAAAAGTCTGCCAGTTCAAAGATTTTCACCTCACGGCAAAATATGGTGGGTAAAGTTTTGAAGATGTTTTGATTGTATTTGCTCAAAGATGTTTCATTTTTTTGAGTATTAGTGACTGATTTAAAAGGAAAACCATTGACGAGATGTGAAGATCATTCCCAAACATTCTGATTGTCAACAGTCAATTCTTATGCTACACTGATGACCAACTGTCCCAATTTTGGACCCTACACAAAGTGCATCATCACGAAGAGCAACAACTTGTCTTGTCACCTAAACAAATAGTCAGTCAGAACATGAAATGAAATAACAAATCATATTGTAAACAATTTATTAACCTGCTCTTGTGAATGTCTGTTTACCATTGCATCCAAACTCTCCAGCATGGACTCTTGGCCCTCCACAAAGGTTTTCACCATTGAAGACAAATTACCCATCTAAATAAATCAAAACAATGGATCAAAGCCTCTTCATGTGAGTTTGGCAGCAGTTCATTGTTAATAAAATTTGATGCCAGCTGGACCAGCTCTCTATGTGCAACACTGGTGACAGTGTTAAGAAGGAAATTTTTTTTTCCTGAGATTCTGATAGCAAAACCCAGATGAAAAGATATAAAAGGCTGTGATTGAAGCATTGAATAATATTATGTTACAATTGATATATAAAAAATTGCCATTAAACATGTACTCAATTAACAACAATTTAAAGCAAAAAAAAAAAAAAAAAAAACTGGCTTGGCACTCAGTATGTGTGCAATATATTAAATGTTTCGGAGCTGAATTGCTCCACATCTACCTTATCGTTGAAAAATGTGGCAAACTGGTTCTGAAAGGCAGCCATTGAATGAACTGAGATTTCAAGTTCCCTCATTTTGGGCAAAAACTCCTCATTCTTGAGGGTGTGAAGCACAGAGCAAATATTATCCTGAAACAAAAAATCAGAACTCTTAAAAACTGAATGTAGTAAAACAAACATTAAGTGGAGGGATTTAGCTCAGCCATTTATTGCAAAACAAGGAAGGTGTTTCAATGTAAAAGCAAATCAGGTGTCAGAAATCTAAATGACAGACAGTAGTGGTAATTATACAATAAGCTCAGTCATGCACGCATTCTGATTGGTTCTCACTTATGATCTATTGGAGGACAGACGCATAGATGACGTCATCGTTAAAACTTCTTAAAATTCTTTATTATATAAAACAAATAGATTCCAAGTTGCCGTGCGTTTGTTCAGTAATAGATTACAGAGGATGTCAAAATGTGGTAAGAACATCAGTGACACACTCGGCTGCGCCCCATGTGCCACTTTTTTGTTCTTACCACATTTTGACGTCACCTGTGATCTATTACTGAACAGACGCACGGCAATTTGGAATCTATTTGTTAATTGGTTTCCGGCTTTTCAGTAGGTTTTCTTGTGTACATGAATACTGAGCTTTATTGCCATTGGTCTGTACATAATTAACCAGTCAGAATCAAATCAAGTATTCTTCCAGCTGCCTGACTGTTTGAGTTTCACATTTATTAGATTACCATAGTTATTCCCCAAGCTTTAATTTACAGCCTCATGTACCACAAGAGGCATCAGTGTGCAAGTAGAATTATAATTCTTAAAAAAATCTAGTCCTCATTTTCAAGCTGTGTTAATCTTCTCCATTCTCAGCAGATGTTCTTTATTTTAGGTTATTACTACTTTCTTTGTTGTTCGACTACCCTAGCAAGCGGTAGTTAAATAAAAGTTATTTTACATATAATTTGAGGTTTGTCTCTATGACGTTTGAGATCAATAAAAATACCGAGACAAAGGTCATTGACAAATTGTTGTATGTAGATTAAATAAGGCAAGATATATTGCCGAAAAACTGCCGTTTTGACATCCAAATTTATCTTTCACTTGTTTGTATCAAACTGACTTAGGCTGTATTGAAAGGACTTAGTTTCTAGGTTTTTTGAATCGTCTTTGTCTATGTTTTGAATCCATCACTATCGAATCGAATTTTATCGAAAAGACCGGACTCCTTCTCTTTTATAACCTAGTCACATTCCCTTATCGAGAATGGACGTGTAACATAAAGTTTGTGAGCTCTCTCGGAGCAAATGTCCTAATTATTAAACAGAAAAGTTTGTGCAACTTTGTAATAAAACCAATGCATAGACGTCAGCGACAGTTAAGAGAGAATAAGTTAATGACTGTATCCCTTTGTAAGGGATATCTTCAAAAAATCATTGAAGAGCTTTAGTGCATAGGATGTGTCATAATTCATTCTTGGCCAGTGTCCATGACTTATAGTTTATTTAATTTACACACAAAATTGTCCTTTTACCTTGTTTTCTTGAACCTTACTGGAAACATCACTATGCCAGGTTTCACAGGAACTGTCTTTTTCCTTTAGTTAAAAAAATGATAACCTTTTTTATCATTCATGCATTTTCACCAGTGCAACATAAATCTGGTTTGTCTAAAACCATATCGTGCTATCTGTATGGTACCACTCACCAATAACATTGTTGACATGTTGACAGAATACAGAGACAAGTATTGGACAGGTGTATTTTGCCAAAACGTTGGCCAATCTGTCCTCTATCAACATGAATATCCTTATTATTCATAAGGCTATAAAGTAATTTTTTGCTCTTTTATTTTGAATAATTGTATTCAGTGATACAGAATAAATGAGTTTACCACTTTATAAGCAATGTCTCAAATTTGGTTAATAAGTGATACCTGCTCTCTGGAGGACAGTGCATGCATTTGCACAATCATGTTGTCTTTAAAACTCTGCATTTGATCTTGCAGTTTTAATGATTCATCAGTCTTCTTTGAAACAAGGTTCCCTGTAGACACAAAATTGCAAAGTCAAGAGTATGACATTTGTGCACAGGTTCTTCTGAAAATTGCTAGGTCAGACTTATTAGCCCTTACACTTCCAAGATCTCATTAGCAATTCTCTTTATCATTATCATGTTAGTTTGGAGATATTGGTGTAGAATCAACTAATAATCCCTTACTTGGTATTTTCCTTATTTAGATTGAGTGGAATTGGATTTCTATCCTTGATCTAGTAACATTCCAGGTTAAGATATGTTCAGTGTCCAACATTTTGTAAGTTTAAATTTAAGTAGACAACTCAAGTTTTTAACAATTCTACTTACATTGATGGCTTCACCTACCTAAGGTTTTCTTCATTGCATCAAAGAACACAGTGTTCTCTCCTTGAAACTGGTTCAAATTCTTTCTCACTTTTTGAATCAAATTCTTGCAATCCTCTCCAAATGTATCTTGAGCATTGACATTGTGAGCCTCAACAGTTTGCTTACGGTCAAGTTTTGAGTGGAGTCCATGTACATCAGAAAGGCTATCTTCAACTGTGTGAAGAAGAGAAGAAGCCTGACTATGCAGATGATCCTCATTTCTGCTGTGATTGTCAACAAGATACTGATTCTGATCTCTCTCCATGACTGTTGTTCTTAAAGTATGTTTAGTTTCCTTCAGTGAACGGTTGGTTTTTTGCAGTTCAGTTTCCTTTTCTTCCAGCTCCATGCATCTTTCTTCCAGCTCTTGCTGAGTATCAGTGAACAATTCATTGATCTTTCGCATTTCTTCTTGGAGGGCCTGGATTTTAGCTTCTCTTTCAGCATTCAGCTCTTGCTGAGATTTGATCTCTTGCTGCATAGCACTGAAGAAAAAAAAAAAAGTAAACAGTTCAGAGACAAACATCATCATGGTTGCATTATCTTATGCTAGAACTAATGTAAAGCCTTTTAAAATGTCTGCATAAAAAACAGAATTGTAGCTTAATATATATCTGCAGAGAATCTCAGTGCCCAGGATTGTTACAACTTGTTCTGGATGAAATGCTGATCAGTTAAAGGTTACCTTCCAGAAATTTGTCAAGTTATCCAAACAGAGCTAAGCACCGTGGGAGTAGAACCAGTTGACTGAAGGACACAACAGAAAGGTCTTTGCCAAGATTTGAATGATACATCTTTCAACACAGTCATACTCATTTTCCTTTAAGACTCTACATGAAATTTCGAACTTCATTCTGAAATTTCTTAATTTACAGTGACTAGAATAAACCACACTTCAAAAAAGGAAAAAGGAATGTCCAAAAAAAAAAAATATTTGTTTGTGATTTTTGCCAGCTACCTTTGACAACCTTGTCATTATAGGGAAACTTACTGGTAATTCTCTTCTGCTATGTAAACGCCATTCTTCTCCCTGGCTGCCAGAAGATCTTTCTTAAGTTTTTCTATTTCCTCAGTGTACTCCTGAAAGAATATCATGTGTTATTAATGTTATTAATACCAATCCTTTTTGTAGTGAAGCATACAAGGTTGTTTTTAGAGACAGCTGCTTACACAGGCACATTGTATATAGCTATACAATTGTCAAAATTTATTATGATCTGTTTGTCTTGATTTTTAAGCAATCATGCTGTACCTTAATTAAAGTTTTCTTTGTAAGTTTTTGATTCACTTCTGGTCTGTTGAGAATGTTCTTGGCCCTGTGAGCGTAATCCAGAGTGCTTAGAGTTTCCTAACAATGAAAGACAAAGCACATCATGAATAATGACTTTTAAATCAACAATTCAATCTGGTGCTTTTGATACGGTTTATGATAATTACAAACACTTTGCAGCATGCATGTGATAACATTAGAGTGAAGCCTTCAGTCTCGGAGGAGGTTTGCGTGAAATGAAAGGACAGGAACGTTCTCAAGTGGAATAAAGAAAAGGTTTTACAACATCAGAAAAATTCAAATCTCTAACTTTAACAGTAACCACAGCTGATATCAAAAGAAGATCACACTTCAATCTCAGTTCTTCTTTAATAAGAAGATCAAATCATACAGTATGTGACAGCATATTGGGAAGGTCAGTTCGAACGGAGATTGAAATGAAAAAGTTTACCTGTCATTGGTGGCCATGTAGTATTTTAGTGCTCTTATATTGTAGCCTATTTTTTAAAATATGACAAACTGCCGACAAAAGAAAAACAAAAGGTCTACCTCATGCATAAAAATGAGACAGATGTATCAAGCTTATGCGCACACATGCGATTTTTTGATACATGCATTTTTTAAATTGGCACTTGAATGGGATTTTTGGTGCATTTCATGTGCATTTTTTGGTTAACGTATATGCAATCAGTAGTTTGCTTCCATCGCTATGTTGATCCTTCTCCTTTGATCAAAAGTCAGCTGCTAATGATCAACTGTCAGATGTCATAGTGACTGCCAATCAAATGAGGCCATAGCACACTGACTTTAGTCAATTAGGGCTTTCCACTTTCCATGGAATTTCAAAAATTTCATCATAAAAAGTCAATGTTCTTTTCTCTATTTGTGCTGACCATACCATGAAATGCCACATCACACAATACATCAAAGAAACATAGGGGAATACACGTATCTTTTTGGGAAGTGGATGGTCTTACAAATCAAATGGATTTATGAACAGTGGTAAACATCAACATGTATTTACTGATCCTACCTCCAAGTTGCACAGTGCTGGGGATATGGTGGCAATTATGGAGGTTTTAGTGCGACCTCCAAGTGAATCCTGCAACATCCTTGTTAATTTACTCTCCCTGTTGGTGCAAGAGGGAAGCAATCACCGAAAAATTACAAGGTCTGCATAAAAGGGACACCCTTCTGCCCCATTCAATGAAATGGTTTGGTCTTTTCAAAGTGAGGAAGAAACAAAAATTACCCCCCCCCCCAAAAGGAAAGAAAAATGAATTTGGGAATCAAAGGAGAAAACATATCTTTAACATTATTTTCAAATCAGCATAAGCATGCTGAACAGATACTGCAATACAGTATATGCACATATTTTTTGCCAGGTCTATTAGCCTCTGAACAGGCTCTCTAGACAAGTATGAGGTTGCTAAAAGAACAGCAGTAATTTTTTTGTGTTTGTAAGGCAACAGAGGCAAGGGCATGGCAAGCTTTTTTTCACTTCTTCCCTTTCAAATGACTTGCACTCTGCACTTACTCCCATTCCCCTGAGAGCCACAAAAAAAATTATGCCTGTTTTGCAAGCTTAAGAATGAGGAAATATGAAAGCTGGGAGAAAAAAGAGGAGGGGACAGGGGTGGGGAGGAGGACAGAGAAGGGGGAGGGGAGAGATAATCTGCCATTCCTCTTACTTATCCCTCCTTCCCTGCCAGCCACTTCATTAGAGGCAAACTCCTCCTGAGTCCTTCCAACAGCTGTCTGTTTACAGGCTGCTGCTCTATTGTTGTGGCTTGACAATGTCCATACTTAGGGCAAATTAGCAACTCAACACTATGGTACCTGTAAGGTATGTGAGGAGCTCGTTCCACCAGTGATGTGATCACTCTTCCTAACGTCAACAAGCTCTGATTGATTGTTCCTGAGGAAAGTGAAATTATTACTTGTTGATATTTTTAGAGGTTTTATTAAATATTACTTTACTATAATTTGTGGAGATGCACATGCTCTGATTGGTTGAGATTTGTATCATATCTTGCTGTAATCACCCTGCACAAGGTGAAATGATATTTTCAATAATATTCAACTGAAAATTAGGAACTCATACAATCAAGATGAAAAGTTAAATACTAGATCAAACTTTATTTGAAGATAATTGATAAGGGTTGGACATGCATTTAACCCTTCAGACCCGAATAAGGATTAACATCTAATTTCTCCTTACAATATCACCCTTGAATCATACATTAAGGTCATGAGAATAAAGGAAATGATCACCAACTATAGAACCTCTTGATTGTGAAACAAATTCTCCTTGTCAGCACCTTAGGAAATGCATACATGTAGAACATTATGTAGAACATACATACTGATGTTGGGGTCATAAATATCTTGTGAGTTCAAGCAAGCCCTCTGATTTGCTCTTAATTAGTAAATATTTTTTAAATATAGGGTACGTTTATTTAGGTTATTCTTTAACATTCTGCATTCATACCAGCTTCTCTGAGCCTTTTATCAACTGCTCCTGATCTACCAACATTTTCACTTCCTGCCAAATCCACCTATAAAATTCAAATACCCACACAGTCACTTGATGCAGTCTACACTATGTGCTCTCTTCAAGGTCATTAATTATAAGGTATTTTCAAGGAGTGGATCAAATCTAGTAAATTTTATAGAGGTTTGTTTCAAAAGAAAATACATTCAGATTTGAAATCCCGCTGGATATGAAAATCTCTCAGCACAAACAATGTCCTTTGAAAAACACTTGGTATTAAAGTACTGTAAGGTGTACTAATTATAATAATGATCATATACCAATATACTTTAAGTGTTTGGTATATTTAAAGACATAACTGCAGAGTACAAGCTTGCTTCCCCACTAACATTGCCAATGTATTATAACAAGGTTCATCATCAGGTTCAAAATTACATAGAAAACTGCATTTTTACTCACCAAGTTTAACTTGCCAATCTTCAATAATTCCTCACCACTGACAGAATTCTCTTTAATGTGAATGGTGACAGAGAACACAGAATGGGAACGACTAGAAACATACAATTGGTAATAAGCTCTTAAATGGAAAAAAATGCAAGTTTATTCACAAAGAACCAGCAAAAATTAAGTTTGATACTAATTCATCAGACTACAAGTATTATCAACTCAGTTGATAATACTTTATTACTCTGTTATACTCTCCCACCAACACAGCACAACAGTTTCTTTAGAAATTTATCCTCTATTCTTTTTTTCCAAAGGGACAGGCTTATGGGATTTTGTGCACTCATTATAGCAAAAAATATGGGCTGTTAGCAATCAGGAAAATCAGCGATAACTTCCTTTTACATGAAACAAGGACAGCTAACATTAATGTCAAAAGGAGAACATGTTTATCGATTGACCAATCTTCCTTTATAGCACAGTGTGTTCATGCTTGACTCATCTTATCAGACAATCATAAAGAATTAATGCCAGTACAAAACAAAGACATTCTCATTAGTAACAATGTCATTATACATAATAGGCTTTTTTACCTTGAATGTGCATTCATCAGAGTTGCTGCTGTTTGACGCTTTGCTCTGCCTCTTTCTAAAATGTTATACACATCATCTTTGTCATGAACAACAAGCTCTTCAAGTCCTTGAATGACAACAGACCCCTAGTGGAATATAGAAGTGAGTATGATTATTCACCTTTAACCCAACATCAGCATGCATATTCTCCCTACTGCTCTCTGACAAGGAGAATTTGTTTAATGATAAAGAATTCCTTGAGTTCTTCAAGTTTGATCCTGGGGTAAGATGCTGGTCAGTCTTAGGGGTGAAAGAGTAAACCTTAATAATAAGGCCCACAGCTACAAAGCTGAAGCGCAAAACATTTTTTACAGTAAAAATTCACTTCTTAACTTGAACAATGTAGTGATAAAAAAAGATAGGTAATCAGTCAAGTGCGAATTAAAGACAGTAGCTCATTAGGCTTAAAGATTTCACATTCAACTTTCACCTTTAATTGTAATGTACTCACTTTTCGAGAGGAGTCTTCAAAAAGACGCATTTTTTGGCTGTCCAAACTTGAGCTCAGCAAATCAAACAGTTCTTCATTGTAGATCTCCAAAAATGAAACTCTTACAGAGAATTCACAGTCCTAATGAAAAATGGCAGCTTGAATTCAAATTATTGCACAAAAGTAATTGCTATCAATAACTACTGAATGCAAAAAGTTGAATAGTTTTAATGATTTCTGCTTGTTTCATGCAATTGGTGGCATCATTAAAATATATGATTTATCTGGTGAGGACAACTGGACCTGAACCTCCCTTCTCTTGAACCCTTTCTGTACCCCTCAAAGAAGTGGTTTCAAATTTTCCACAGAATTAGATTTGACCATGTGTGTGAGGAATACTGATCAGAAAGTTAGCTTTCACTGTCCTTTCTAAATTTTTTACAAAGTAAATCCTAGCTTAATGCAAATAACTTACAGTTTGACTGTTGAGTTTCTCCAGCAACTGATGCATGGTTCGTGGAATGATTCCCGCTGAGGGATCCTAGAATTAAGGAACATGTAAGAAAACAATCTAATAATTTTCACCAAAAAAAAGATAAAACAATCAAGAATGAGGTAATGAATTTATAGAGTCCAATTATAAAACATATAGTATTTAGAAATAGTCATCAGCTGTTTTCCTATGGATCAGTTTAGTTACTGAACATTCTCTTTAAGGGAAACCCCTTTATCCAAAACTGGTGTTCAAATGCCCATCATGATTGTCATATGGTACACATACAGTATCTGATTTAACTTCCCAAGTCCATGATGGCTTACATATGTAAAGGATAGTAAAGGAAAAAAATTGGAGGTTTTCCCTTTTGGTGCACATAAAACCTTTTACAGACTCTTGCTTCTTCAACAACAAACTATGAAGGAACAATGTTTCCTTTTAAATGAGGAAAGCATCTGTTCTTGAGATGATGGACAAAAAAACCAATCCAAAATTTTTCAAAACTTTTCTGAACCACCTCAAGTTGTCATGTTTGTTGAACTCCAACCACCAGTTTAAAGGAATACCTTTCATTTCATTTCAGACAAAAAGAAATCACAGCTGCAACTTGTTACCAACCTCTTCTGTACCTAAACTCTTTCCATGATCATCCTTTCTGATACCAGTATAATGATGCATTCCCCCCCCACCCCCAGAAGAGGGTTAAATGTTTCAACTATCTGGGCATGTCAATGAGTGCATTGCCCAGGGCACAGCTGATTTCATTCTCTTTTTGGTTGAGAAATGACTGGTATAATTATAATAATCATTATATGATAAGCTGAATTAAACATGCATTTTGATTAAATCTTATTAATGATCTAATGGAGGACAGACATGTAGATGACATCATCATAAAAAAACATTTTGCTCTTTATCATATAAAACAAGCAGATTCCATGTCGCCATGGGTCTGTGCAGTAATAGATCACAGAAGACATCAAAATTTGGTAAAAGCATCAGTGACATACTAAGTTGTGCCCAAAGTGCCACCTTTTTTTTTCTTACTACATTTTGAAGTTATCTGTGATCTGTTACTAAACAGACCCACACAAACATGAAATCTAATTGTTAATTATACAACCTCTTCCCAAGAACAATCTTCTTGACTTCTCTCTCCTTCCATAGTATATGTTTTTCCTGTTCCAGTCTGGCCATAGCTATAAAAAGATATATAAGGCTGATTTACCTTACAGTTGTCAGGAATTATGATCAACTGAAACATAAGAAGGAAAAATACGAGCAGAATAACCTACAGTAGACTTACGCAAAGATTGTACAGTTGTATCCCATCAACACTTCATCTAAGATTGGCACAACAACTGAGCGATAAACATCAATCTGCTTGGTTTCTGGACCAAAAACACGATCAAAGGTAAATGTCTTTGTTGTAGATGTGGCCGATGAAATATTTCCAACGTCGTGTTTGACGACAATCTCCCTCTTCAATGGCTGGCACTTTACCACCGATGGTGAGCTTTCTTTGACTTCTTTTCCATTACGTGGCCTAAAAAAAATACAGGGTGAAAATAAAAAGATCAATGAAAACACATCTGTTACTTTCTGATAGATTCTCTCTTCCGTTTATTTGCCAACATTATGTTGTGGGTTTGGCAGGGATGTAGCAAACAGCTTGAGTTCGGTCACTCTAATCTTTAGGGATTCGGACTCTGTACCCGATCCTCTGGATGCCTGTGCTATTTCCACTCGTTATTTACAAAAAAATATTTTTACATGTACAGCCTTATGAGCGCGAGATAATTCATTCTGAGAAATTTGGAAATATGAAATTTTTTTTGTGATTTCTTGAACGTAAGATTACAAGTAACTTGATCACCAAAGCAGTGGAAGACGCCAAAGAATCATCCATCGCTAACTCACATCTTAGAGTTATTTAACCACCTAAATCTAATCTGTCTGTTCATAGATCGACTGGCTACGACTACCGATTAATCAAAGAACAGAGAGACTTAAGATAAAATAATTCTGTGCATGAAATCTGTCGATTTTCATCTCACTTACCGACAACGCACGACCACTTGGATGTTCTTCTCTTGCGGCGCTTTGCTTTTGACCATCTTAAAACAAATAACTCTCTTTTCAGTATGTTAAAATTTACGAACAAAGAACGGGATACGATCTGGCCTTTTTCGTCCAAAGATTTGCAGTTCTTTTACAGTACACAGGTATTACGCTCTCTGCAAGGTATTCGCCGACGTTCGATTTCCGTGCCACATTTGAATGGGCCAATAAAATCCAACAGTAAAAATCACGTGGTAAAGATACGAGCTTTCCCATGGCTCAGTGCAGTCGTGCTTTAATGTTATGTACCTTCATGTAAAGCGAAAGAAGATATGCGTAGAATGTCAGGTGTTGCGATTCCCCTCTTTTTATTCTAAATAACTGAATATGACATTTGTGTTTCCGTCCATAAATGGCACGGTGAAGCCAAGAGAAAGAAGTGGTCATGTAGCGGTTCACCATGATGGTTATCTAGTAGTTTGGGGAGGCTATTGCAACGTAAGTGAGCTTGAATATTAATTAGCAACTCAATCAATCTTACTTTGTCACCCAAGGTTTATTGAATGAAAAAAGATTTTAGTACCGATTAGAACAAAGGAAAATATCATGCAGAACCAACAGGGAAATTGAGCTACAAAGTCATGATTGGTTTTGGGGGGAGAGGGGCTGGGGGTAAGTTTCCAAGGAAACTGTGGTGCTACGTGGTGGGGAGGGGTGTTACAAGATAATTTATTTGAGTGGATGATGTGAATTGGCCACCTTAGAGAGATTTTATTTTTCAAGCGTTAGCCCTCTATCAGAGTGAAGGGTGCACTAATGAACAGTTAATGCTTGAAACATCATCTGTAGAATCTCTCTACATGGGTCAATCCACAGTATCAACTCAGTTTATAAAATCGTAGTTGGTTTTGGGTTTCCAGCTTCTTGGTTGAAGATGGGCACAAGTTTAAAAGACTTATCAGAGAACAAAACCAGTTGGGCCGGGATAACCTGTGAAATCTAAGTGTAAACTGAGGATCACTTGTTCATCTACTGTCATGAAATCGAAATCAAACTAAGGGGGCAGTCAATCAGAATAAAGATCAAAATTGTCTGAGATCACTGAAAGCTCTTGTGAATTATTTCAAGTTAACATTTTACAAGATCACTGAAAGCTCTTGTGAATGATTTTAAGTTAACATTTTACAAGATCACTGAAAGCTCTTGTGAATTATTTCGAGTTAACATTTTATATGATCACTGAAAGCTCTTGTGAATTATTTCAAGTTAACATTTTACAAGATCACTGAAAGCTCTTATGAAATATTTAAAGGTCAATATTGTCTGAGATCACTGAAAGCTCATGCAAGAACAAACAATTTTATGAGTGGACATTGGATATGAGATGTTAAATAGCTAATGAGGTGCATAGCACCAAGTTGGCTATAACCAATGTTGAACCCAACAAGCTTGAATGGAATAATTGTGTTATTAAGTTTCATTAAATCCTGAACGTTTGGATATGTAGAGTTTGTTTCAGCTTTGTAACAGCTGGCACGATGCACTTTGACACAAGGTGATGGAATCTAAGCTGATAACTGGAGTTGAGTGACCAAAAACAACACTAGAAATGTATTATTTAACTTTTCTGATAATTTTTTTTAAACAATTTCAGTTTTTCTTTTTATTTTTATAACTTTTCTACCTAAGGGTGATCCTGAACAGTTTCCTGGATTGCAGTTTCTTGTCGACAGGTATCATCCCAGTAATGAAGTTTGGTTGTACTGCATTGAGACTTCTGCATGGTAAGGATGCATGATGAGCAGACTTTAACTCTTTATAAACCAACATCAGTATGTATTTTCTCCATATTGTTCTCTATACATTTCCTAAGGGGCTGACAAGCAGAATTGTTTAGCAATCATGAGCCTCTTTGGTTGTTGATCATTTTCCATATTTTCATGACCTTAATGTATGAGTCAGGGGTGACATTGTGAGGAGAAATTAGATTCTAGTCACTTATAGTGATCAAAGGGTTAAGAATGCAATAGTTGACTCTGAATTAATGTGTTCTTGTTTGGGAAACTTGGACAGATGTGCTATATCTAGCTACATGTAGTGGCACTGCAGATACCAGATAAAAATGAAAGCCATTTACACTCTCAGAGCAAGTCACTTGTCATTAAATAATTGTGTTTTTAGGAAACATGTTGAAACAAGTGGAGACATACCTCCACCCATGTCAGGATCAACAGCTTGTGTGATTGGTGGCAAATATATGTACATATTTGCTGGGCATCATGATGAAGGACCCTCTTCAACAGTGAGTCTTTTTTGGCTACAAAAAATTTCCTATTATTAATTGTACCTAGGTGGCACCTACATGAAGCCTTTAACTTGCAATATCTGATTGTTACATGTAACTCTTCCCTCCAGCTGCAACACATCTCTTTTTAAATTAGTTGGGAGAATTTGGTGTTGGATAAATACAACAACCTCTATCTGATTAGTTTGAGTATTCTCATTACATGTTTATTGGATAATGTATGGATGTTATACTTGGTGGAGTTACACGTGAATCTCTCCTGACAGTAAAAAGGTGAAAAACTTAATTTTGGATCTTGTAAGCTTTTAAAAGCTGAGTTATAATTTATCAGTTGAAAACTATTTTTTAAAATTGTGTGACTGTCTCCCAACCTTTATGTTCTACAACAAGGTTTCTTGTTTGAGTAAATTGGAACTGTATGTTTTCTTTGATAGGTTTTTGTTTTAGATTTGAACAAATTTGTGTGGCAAAATTTGACAGAAAAGATTGAAGGTAATCCCCCTTCAGACAGGGACAAGCTGTGTTGTTGGACACACAATGATTTGTAAGTTATTTAATATTGCATCATTTCATTTGTTTCCAAAAAATTGTGCTAGAAAATAATAATTTTACCATTTCTCCTTTGTGTTTCTTGTTGTATCCCTCATTTTCATTTCAGTTATCCTCAAGTAGACTCAGGGTATCTATTTGGTATTAGAGAGTTCTCCAGCTACTACACAGAATATTCTATGCTGAAGCTATTTTTTTCTACACCCAAGCTATTTCACAGTTAAATGGTAATTTAGTTTTATTAACTGAGTTGATGATGTAAATTAGCCTCCATAAAGAGTTTCTAAGCTGATGTATCAAGCATTATTAAGCTCTTTGTCCTTTGCTCTGACAAAGGGCTAATGCTTGAATTTTTTAACTGAAAAACTCCACAGGGTGGCCAGTTTACATCATCGGCTTGGTTGATAAAACCAAGGCTGTTATACTCCCACACTGGCAAAGCACCGCAGTTTCTTTAGAAACTTACACCCTGTTTCCTTATATTTTATATTTAGATTCTCTTATTGCTCTAGACCATTCTCCTGCTTGTATCAATCGAAACCTTTCAACTATAATGAAATACTGAGAATGTTTATGTTCACCATGATCATGATGCACCTTAATATGTAGAAGAAACCTGACTTGGAATCACAGCCCACAATTGCTGGTCAGGGCACCCATTTGGGCCTCAAAGAGCCCCTGATCCTAACTTTAAAGATTTCCTCTGAGCTGCCTTCTGCTCACACAGTTTGTTTTAATGGCAACCCTTTAAGTCTAACATTGTGAGAAACTACTGGCTAGTAAAAATGAATAAATTATGAAAAACAGTCTTTTCTCAGTGAAAGGCACCAGTAGAACTCTCATAGCCTTAACTGAGCTGCATTTGACATCAGGTATTCAAACTTTGCAGAATTGTTATAGTTGTAATTGTGAAAGGTAGAGGGTTGAAACCAAAAACAGTAATTAGCTAGATGATAAATTACAGTTATAAAAAATTATATGTATATTTTTTCATTTGTATAGAATAGTGTATTTTGGAGGGTATGGAATACCTCCAGATCCTCATAAAGTGGATGAGTCTTGTGGATTTTTCACATTTAATACCAGTGTTGAGGACCAATTCACTGTAAGTTTTTAGTGTCAAACATATTTCCAAGGAGAGTTATTCTCCAGAATGATTATTTCCCCAACCAATCAAAGATTTTACAATGTAATTATGAAACTATGGCAGGCATTATGACTTGAGATTCCTGAGTTTGTAAGCTCACCTTGTGGAAACTTGAAATGGATGCAGCCAATTTAGATATTTCTCAGTAACCTGGCCACTCCCTTGTGACGTGTTACAGTCTGACGCCATTTTTATTCTATCTCTTGGCAACCTGTTTGAGCAGTACGCAGAAGAGCAAATTGTAATGCTTTTATGTGACAGTGACAACTTCTGCTGTTTATAAACAGCATTTTTTGGTATCTGTTTATGTTCATATTGGTTGCTAAGTTGTCTTTCAAAATGATACCATCCATTTTCAAATGTTTAGTACATCTTGCGATTATTTGTGAAGAGTTAGGTTACTCGAGAGTGGTCTTTGGAACTGCAACACCCTAAAGACTGTACAACATGTCCAGTGAACTATAATTTGTATCACTTCAAATTTTTTTATGCAGTCTGTGATTTCCTTGGTGAAAAGAAGAGAAAGCTGATTTCCACATTCTCTTTTATTTTGGTTCATTAGGACATCAGAGGATGGAACAGTCACATGTTTGTTCTGGATACAGAACGTTTAACATGGAGCCAACCACAGACAAAGGTGGGTTTAAACTGAGTACATTTATTTGTGTTGCTTGAATATTTAAATTGTTTTGGTCGACAGTATGTGTATGTGTAATGACAGTATGAAATGTTTTTTATCCTGATTTGTAACTTTTTTAAAGAAGAAATCAAATGAAAAGAAAGAAACCTCTCTCATTAATAATTTTTCAGCCAGGGTGGACAGGAAGTGAATAAGTTATGGGTAGATTGATTCTGAATAGCACAGGAATGGAAAAAAATTAGAATGATGTACTTAGAAAATCTGTGGCATAAAATAAGTTTTATATAAACATGTGTAACTTTGAAATAGCTACGTTAATACTTTCAAGGAAAAACCCACGTTGACAAAAACCAATAAAAATGGTCAGTAGGATAAAATAAAATGTGTGATGTAATGAGATACTCTCAACTTGCATAGCATGTTTTTTCTCAGCTGCATTGTTTCTGATGGTGCTGTTTTACTCTGTAGGGGAGAGCCCCCACACCAAGAGCAGCACAGGCTGCGGCTAAACTTGGAAATATTGCTTATATCTTTGGTGGAAGATACATGGTATTGTAGTTGACATCAGCAAACATACCCTCTTTAATGTTTATCATAGGATTTATCATGTAGTAAAGTTTTTAGACTGAAAAATATTCTGTTTTGTGTGTTTCTCCACGTGGAGAAAAATGATAATGTTCTCACTAATATACATGAAAAAATTATGCAATTCTGATTGGCTGAAAATGAGTGCATTTTTTTAAAATAACATAAATGCAAATTTGCTAAGTGGTAACAAGTACGAATTACCAATAGCAATTTTTTTTGAGAGGTTATAAAGGTGCATACTAGTTCGTCAAGGAGTGTTTGAAAATCTTTGATTTGGAACTTAGCCTTCCCTAACTTGAAGATATAAGTGAAGAGATAATGATTTTAAAGTCAATACCTCACTGGTCTATATTCTAGCAGAGACCTCTGCATTGTTTGACAAATTAGCTCCTAAACAAGGACAAAACAAGTTTGAGAATTACTAAGTATTAAAGACAAAATCACTTTGTCCATGTGCTGTGTAAGGTCTTGTTAACTTATTTATTTCGACTGGTAGGAACAACGACGTAATGATTTGCATGCCTTTGATATGGACAGCATGGAATGGAGTGGCAGGTGAATACAGCTTAAATCCAATCATCTATCTATGCTGATTATATTTTTACTGAATTCATTGCCTTATGCCAATTGTATGATTATAAATTACATTATAATGACACTTTTATAATTAATGGTTTGATTAGTATTCCAACTACAGGTAAAGTGCCAGATGGAAGAACATGGCATTCCCTATCTGCTGTCAGTGACAAACATTTATTTCTTTATGGAGGCTTTAACAATCAAGGAGAAGCATTAGGTGAGACTTCAGAGAACTTCAAACTCAAAAAACAAAATTTTTTTTTTAATGCGACATGTTCAGCATTATTGAAGTTTGGATTATTGGTTGATTTTAGGACCACTCTTATTTAGATAAGGCAAGCATGATTTACCACAACTCCCACCTTTTTTAACATGGTTGGGATCTAATCCTTGATGAAAGTTTTGTCAGAATGAAAGAATTCTTTTTCAAGTAACATTTAATATTTTCAGGCGATGCTTATACTCTTGACACCTCAACAATGATCTGGTTTCAACTCAGTGTCCCTTCGATACAAAGGTATTTGCAATGAAAAAAGGGTTTTCACTGCCTATTGGGAAAGTTCTTGAATAAAATGAATGAAAAACAAAGTTCACTTTTGTGGTTTATTTGTTTGATTTGGTTTCAACTCTCCTAGAAGTTCTCACATGTAGAGAGGAAATCTATTATCCCAAGTCTATGCCATTATAATGCCATCTCATGCTCAAACTTATCAAATAAAGACTATTAGCAAACCCAATCAGTGTGACTTCATTAGCAAAACCATTACCACAACTGTTCAGGCTAGAGCAGGAGACAGCAGTTGTGAACAGCCTGTGGATGACTCTTGGTCAGTAAAGATGAAAGAGTGAGCAGACAACAGAACATTTAGGTTTTTAGGAGGAAAGACAAGGACCTCTTTGTGTTCTTTTTCCCCCTTGTTTTTCACTTTTTGGCCAAGGTAACAACAACTTGTGTGATGTAACCAAATATAAAAGCATCATGGGGACAAGGGTTTTTCAAAGAGAAGAGTAACACTTGCTTACCTTTGGTTTCAGTAAACCTATGACTCGAATGTGGCATACAGCTTGTTGTACAACTTCTCCTGGAGAGGTTCTAATTTTTGGAGGATGTGCCACATCAGTGTTAATTCTTGAACAGGTGAATAGGCAACAATTTCAAATTCATGCTTCAGTGTGTATTATCTACTGTACTGTTTCTATCTATGCTACAGTGTATCTTTCTAATGCTGCTCATTAATGATATGGATTGTAGCAATACATACATGTTTGTTATCAGCCGAGTGGTGGAATAGTTTGATGACTGTTTTTGCAATTTTTTTAGGCAATCAATATCTGACTAGTCATCCTGATAGAACAATTTTTTAACTTTCACTTCAACTGATTGTGGTTCAGATTCTTGTTATCACAGACACAAAGCAAGCACCCTCATGAATCGGCAAAAGAGGTTTACCAGGCCTACTCACAAGGCCAGCCTGGTGTGGTGTTATATATGTGTATGATTATTTCTAGCTAAATTCAATAACCAACAGTCATTCTAAGAAACCATAAGATAAAAGAGGTAGCTTCAAAGAGTTTCTCAGTTGAACTACAATAAGTAATATTTTCTTGGTTTTTTTCTTTTTTCAGGAGCACTGTGACAGTATCCTGATCTTTAGGTTTACACCTCAGCCTTTGAACTTGTAAGAAATTATTTTTCATTTTCTACATGCAAACAACAGAGGGGGAGGGGAGGGATGGGGGAGCATATTTCCTGTGTGTTTTAGAAGTCTTGATGCCTCAAGAAACTTTGGTTAATATTTGAGATGGTGCCTGAATAGTGAATTTTTTCCTCTTAGATTATGTGCAGATACAGTGGTCAAGTGTTATTCAACCCTTCAAAAGCAGCTCAGATCCCTCCCTAAGAATCTGCTTATGTCACTCTTTCTGCACAGAAGACTGCAGGCCAGTGGAAAAATATAAATGACATGCGTCAGAATCTCTAGAGTTCTAGTCACAAACGTTAGACTAGATCTTTAGTCACGGCATCGGACATGCCTGGTTGCTAATTTATAATTATGTTAGAGAATTCTATGAGGCACCGTAAGAATTTTTTTTGCCTAAAAGTTGAACAAGTTTAATGAGATTTGGGATGAACAGTTTGAAGCGTGTACATGTGAGCTACAGTAGGCTGTTTCTTTCAATATTTTGGTGTCTTTTTGGGCCTTGAATGTGCCCTGTGCTGTTTTAGATCAAGTGTTAGTAAGTCTCAAGATTTGTAAGAATCGTTTGTGAAAGTGAATCACTGGCGATGAATCAAATTCGCACTTTTCCCGCCACATGGTGCACGTGTTTGTGAAGCTATTAATTTTCTCCAGTTTAGTGCTAGCACTATAACTTGTGTAAATACGATAAAATGTTACATTAAACTATAATTTATATATCAGATATTACGCACAATTTCAGTTTGAATTTCCTGATATCAGACGCCATTAACATGCATTTAGCTAAAACATCAGTAAAATAGATATGTAACGTGGAGTTTGTCTAACATCCGGGAAAGTGTCTTTCGAATGTCACTCGCCAGAAAAGGCCTGAGAATGGACAGATCGACAACTTGGATCTTAGAATCAAATTCACGTTGGTAATCGAGATATAGAGCCTAGAGCATCAAACTGGGAATTAAAAACTTGGATTGCGATTCCAAATCAAACTTCCGAGTTGCTGTGCTGGATTCGTTGCGTGGATTTTCTGATGAATACCCATAAATCGCAGCGGAGTATGTTTCATAAAAAGCAATGCGTGCTAGTCCACTGTATTCATAATATGCCGTCGAAACGGCCCGGTCCACATCGAAAGTGACTACATTTAAGGTAAACGAGATGAGTAATACCTACAATTTGCTCCAGAAATGTTTTGCCTCCCCCGAAATTACCCTCCTAGAATGTGGTTCAAAATGCATTTCGGACTGCGTTCTGTAATTGCTCATGTCAAATGACTTCCTGGCTCTAGCAAAACAAACTTGTTTCTTGGAGTGCGCAAGATTTTAATTCCCGAGCGTGTTTCAACGAAACGTTCTCGAAAATCATTTAAAAATACGACTTCTAAAATGATTCAAACTGTAACACCAAAGTGAGCTCAGTCGTAAGCTTGATCCTAAGTTCCCTGAAGTGCGTTTTCAGAGTGCGTTCCTTAACAGAGTATTCTTAAAATCGTCAATACTGCTCCAGTAAGCTTCCCTAGCGTCAGTTTCCGAGTTGCTTTTCCAAAAAAACACTTACGACCCATCACAGGACTCGTATTGCACATTTTCGATTGAGTATCCTTACATCGACATCTAAGTTACCAAAACAGCTAATCAGAGGAAAGAAAACTTATTGAAAAAAGCCAATGAAAACACATTTTTCGCGGGAAAAGGCGACTGGCGAAGTCGTGTTTGTTTTCAGTTTTGATTCCGATTGGTTGAGAGTGCGGGGCGGCTTCTCAAGCGAGTCGAGTCCCGACAAACCCTTATCCCTTAGTCTCGGTCTTTCTAAAGCCCTTTCTACAATCCAGTGTACAGTTAAGTTATGAACACTTCAAACGTCCTTAAACCACCACCAAGTTGTTATATTGAATGAGACACTTTTAACTTAGTTACATTCAGCACTAAAAAAAATAACTTACAGCACTTTCAAAAATTATTCCTAAAAAAATTACTGCGCTCATAATTGTTGGAAAAATCCCTTTACTTACATTACTATAAATGAATCTCTCAATATGTTCTTGTATATGAATATATGCAAAAAACGGTTTTTCCAAAAATATAATGAAATTTTTCTAGTTTATCTAAACTTAACAAACCTCTACTTTAATATTCTAAATAAATGCAAACTCTCATACTATGATAAGCTTGTGCACCCCAACTACAAGGTTTTCCCTCAATAAATACTGAGTAAATTTCTAAAAATCTCCCAAAATGAAATGCATAAAAGTTTAAGTGGCATAACTTTTGAACTTGCAAGCTAAGGGCTTCGCCTCTTGCTAGTCGCCATTCAGGTGATAAAAATCACCAGTCACTCCTCTAATCGTTATGTTAAGATATTTATAGAAATTTTAACTTTATTACTTCCATTTTGAAATTACTGATGATCCTTAAAATCTGATTGGCTCTCAGCAGTACAATTTAATCACAAGTCGCATTTTTTTTGCTCCAAATCACACCTCCTTCCAAACCAACGAAAAGGCACTCAAACAAGACAAGCAATCAGATTTCAAGGCTTTTTAAAAGTTATACTACTCAAATTGCAGGATTGTGACAGACAAAGCATTAGGTGAAGAATTTGCAACTTTTGTTGACAAAACTCCTTTCTTTTTCCAAATCAACCACTGAATTTAATTTCTTACAGTTTTTGAGAAACAGCAATGAAACATTTGTACTGACTAAAATCCTGCATTTAGGCAATTGAGTTTTTACATTTCAAAATGGATGCAACAAAGGCACTGTGGTAATTGAACTTGAAGTTGTACAATTATGATCTAAAATCATACTTACCTCTTGTGGATTATAAATCAAAAGTAAGACTTCAGACCAAACCAAACTGCACTTCATTCAGTTCAACTCCCATTATTAAACAACCTCTGTTAGTTTTACTGACTTTCAAATGTTAATAACCTATCAATAACACATAGGTAGGTCCCAACTGGAAAGATTAATGTGGCATACCACCATAAATCTTTTATAAATTTGACAAGGACCAGTTAATTCACACCATTGTTACACAATATGGTTACCTCAGGTTTTTGCAATTCCCATATATTTACAGGAAAACAGAGACAAACCATTTGTTTTGAGAATATTTTAAGTTATCACTTTTTGTGAAAAAAGAAAGACAAATGTACCACGGCCAGTGAATTCCCCTCTCCACACCCAATTCCTCATTATGTCCAGGACTGAAAAAGATACAAAATTGAAAAACTTGTGTAACTATAACAAGGTCAAGCACTTTTTGTAATTTTCACAATTTTTTTGTCAAATGGTTTCCTCCTAGACTCACTGCTTCAAAAGCCTTTTACCAGGCAATTCACTCCACACTAATTGGAAAAGAAGGCTGAAAATAAGAAAATATTGTAATTTTTGATGATTTTCTCAATTTTAGCTTCCTCACAACTCCTCTGCATTTCCCATCAATTGTCACTGAGGGGAAAGCAAACATTTTTTTGCAATTTTGACAATTTTGTGCAGTTAAAGTTATTCACAGGCAGTATTCATCGTTGATATCAAGTCTTTATCTTGAATAGGTGTCCTCATTCAGCAATGCTCTTGTTCACTGTTCTCTGTTGCTAAAGGGTTGTCGTCTCTGCATATGGATAATTTACACTTTTTCTAAATATCTCTTGACTCTTTTTAGCATCCTAGAAAAAAAGGAATTAGATCTCAAAGTTATCTTAAGGAAACACTCATTGTTGTCATCAAGCAGGTTCTGTTTGGCACTGTGGCGAGAGAGGCAAAGTCTACCAGATTTGATCAAGAGGACAAAGTTAGTGTGTGAGGGGTGACTTTGAGGAAAATGTGTATCATGTTTGAGGGTCCCACTAAAAAACTTCCTTGGCAGGTTGGGTTCCCTCATTAATTTAACATTATTATTATTATAAACAAATTATTGCAGACCCCACAGAGACCTCTTGCATTATCTTTGTACCTCAAAACAAGCAGGCTTGGTGCTGCTTACCAGTTGTTTTGTATCCTTGGTCGTTTTGTACCCAGTCTTTCCTACCCAGCTAGGTCATTTTGTACCCAGTCAGTTGAGTAATTTTGTAACTGGCTCAATCATTTTGTAGCCAAACTTTTTAAGTATGTTATCCATGTTAACAATGGGAGAAAAAAGGTTATTCAATCTAGTCAATTTAATTCAGGAAAAGTTATTTAATTTTTAGGGTAATTAAATAAACATGCTATAATTAATGTTTGTACAAAGTGATCTTGGCACTGAGAGAGATATGTGCAAAATAAGGACCCTTAATTCTATTGCAAAATTTGGAATCACTAAAAAAATTAATTAACATACTGATTCACTTGATGATCTCCCTCTTAGCAGTGCACTAGCAATAGCATCAATCCATGAATGCATTTCTTCTTCAGATTTCCCCTGCAAGATAACATTTAAATATCACTGTCAATTTTTGGGTGTTAATGGTGCTTAAATGTTTGGCCAAACATCATCTTTTCACATTGATTCCAGCATAAATGCTTTCACAGATCATAAATCATTTAAATCAAGATCATACTGATATCACTCTATATACAGAATCAAACAGACCCTTTTCAGATTGTAGAAAAGAAACACAAAAGTTGTTGTTATTTTTTTTTTAATTAACAAATTCAGACTTTGATTTTCCAAGAAAACATGCTACAGTGGAACCTCAATTTAACGAAGTACCAAGGGACTGGGGGAATTGGTTCATTATATCATGGGTTTGTTTGTTAGAATATTAAAGTTAATAGTTGCTTTCTTTTTCCTTTTCTTTTTTTTGTGGTGTGACATTACACTACTTAGCATTTTGGGATCAGAACTATAACTATGAAGAATTGTTTCTTTTTAAATTTTTTTTAAAAATTAAACTAGTAAGCAGCACTCTGCAAACAGTGCTTGTAAAACTTTTTTATTCTCCAACGTGTTTCATCTAACTGTGGTAGACTTCTTCAGGGAGTTTTACAAGTAACACTACAAGCCTGTAGTTAACAGCTATTACAGAGGCTAATGACCATTATAGAGGCTTGGCTGGGCTTACGAACTGAGGAACTGGCAAAATTGTGAAAAATTTAAAAAATTTTTTTTAAGGTGAGAAAAATATTTGGGGGCTACAGGTTTAGTTTAGTGTTAACAAGGTTCTGTCCCATACATTTTACTTTAACTTTGGCCAGGCTGAAGAGTATTGTATCCCCCCCCCCCCTCCTCTAGCTGCTACAGATTTCCTTGTAAATGAGTACCAGTAACAGGGATTTGAAGTTAGATCAAGACAACAACTTCTACCTGATTAGTTTGAGTGTTCTCATTACCTGTTTATTGGATAGAGTATGGATTTTATAAGGAGAAGCTACATGTGAATCATTTCTATGAGTTAATGGGTCAATTATGTAATTGTGAAAAACAAATCTCTGAAAAACTTTGCTAATGGCTGACAGTTAGCCAACAGTTGACCAACAGTTTGCCAACAGTTGGTAGAGGGGAGCTGCTCTTCACAATTACCCTCTCTTCTGTACAAGAAAATTCATTGTGTCAGAATAGGTAGGATACATTGCAGTCTTCAAGCTTGCAAAATTTTTGTGGAACAGCTTTAAGGACAATAGTACCAAACAGTTTCTCTTGAAATAGAAAACTTTTGGTACCAGTAAGCTTAAAAGATAAAAAGAATCCAAATTGCTCCAATGATGTTCAATAAGTATGAAAAAATCAAAACGTATACAAACCTACCTGGATCAAGAATGTTCTAGTGTGTGTTACCACCTCAAACAGATGCTCTCGATTGTTTTCTGTACTGTAACATAAGTTAACTCAACATTAGTACACATGTCATATATACTAACAATGACAGGAAAGATGTGGGAAGAAAGCACATGGAAAAGTCCAGGGACCACCCCTCACTAATGACAACCATTGTACACCCATGGCCAACATGTGGCCAACATGTTGCCAGATGAATGTGTGGCCAACTTGTGGCCAACATGTGGCTAACAAGTGGCAAATGTCCGGCTAATGTTTGGCCAATGTCTGGCAGAGGCCTCCTTGTCCATATTGGATTGATCAGCCTGCCACATAAACACCCCTGTAATGTCATAAGTCATCATTGGGAATGACATATAAACAAGCATTTCCTACCATCGTTACTCATTAAATCATAATTATTCTTACCTCTGACTTGGTTTCACAGCAAGAACCTCATTTGAATTAATCACTTTGATAGGCTCTTTGTCCTGAATGGAAAAAAAAAATCCAAATTTAACTTTAAAAAGTTGATATAGGGTATAGTGTCTGTTTTTAGTAACCTTCCCTCACATTACACAATATTTTTGCAGATCATTAACAATTTTCCTTGTCTTTAATCTTGCTGAAAACCTACCAAAATTTTTTTCCAGCTCACTTGTAGGTGACTAACTTTTCATTTCAAGGAAATAACATCAAATCAGAACACCACATTTTATGACAAAAATAAAACCATTCCATTAAAGCCAATTTAAGGGCAAAGCTCCAAATATGTCAACTTAAATTCACATTTTAAAATCATCAACAGCTTACATTATATTTATCATAATACGCAAGTCTAAAAGTGTCCAGCTTGAAATATCTCTTTTTCCAACTCTTGACCTGAAAAACAACAAGGATGCAAAAGTTTGTAACCCTATATGCTATTATCAAAATGATGAAAAAAAACTGCAATTTTACACCTGAGTCACCTTAATATTTATTAGGAATAGTGAATTAAATGTAAACTGATAATAAATAACATGTAAAAGAGGAACAGGAAAATTGTCTAACACTATTAACAAAACACACTTTTAAAAGACAAATTAACAGTCCTGAAAAAAAAAAAACATGCCAGCAACCAAAACTTGAAGTCTTATAGCACCTACCACTGCTCCCTTCTTTGTCAAGTATCCTTCTTTAATGGGTTTTATTGTACTCGTCATACCAGCTGAACCAGAACGTATCAGAGAATCACCAGGCAAACTTCCCCCCTCACTGTCTACATCAGTATTCTGTTGCAGAAAAAAAGAAAACATCGTTACTGGAACTAAATATCAAACATTCCATGCAGCTTAATACAACAAATGAGTATGTAAAAGAAGGAAAGATAGCAGAATCTTATTAGAGCTCTGTCTTACCTAATTACACCCTACTATCAGTATGCATATTCTCCATACTGTTCTCTTTACATTTTCTAAGGTGCTGACAAGGAGAATTTGTTTAACAATCAAGAGCTTTTTTAGTTGGGGATCATTTCTAATATTCTTATAACCTTAACATGTGATTTCAGGTTGATACTGTTGGGAGAAATTAGACACTAGTCACTCTGTTGAAGGAATTTATCACATATCATTAGAATCCAAAATAAGTTCCATAAGAAGAAAGAGCATTGCTCTTAAAATCATCAAGTGTAAAATATTACTCCACAGAGGGTGCTGCACTAAGGTAGCCATGCACCCTCTTTAAATCAAACTGAAAGTGTCACAAACTCTATGTAATAGATCTTACTAGTGCTTCCAATAAATGAATAAATTAAATGTTGTTACAAATTACTGACTGTACTCTCAAATTAATATCTTACAACAAGCAGTGAACTATTGTGCAGTTTTAGACCCATCAAATGAAGGCAAACCCACTAGTTTTACAGGAAAAGCACAACATAAAAGAGGTTCAAAAGCTTGTGATGTAATTGGTAGATTGCAATTGAATTTTTCTCTCTGATTTTAAGTATCTCTTATGATAATTAGGGAGAATCATTAATTGTAATCACCAGCTTTGCTTCAAATGGAGTTTCAAACTTTGATGTTGAAAGCAATAAACAACACACCGTAGGTGGGAAGTTTACACTATCTTGTAATATTTCCATTGTCAATTCTTTCTCACATATGAAAACATGTACATAGCTAAGAATTACCATTAAAAGAACTGTTTAAAGTGTATTACGTAGAAGTTGCACCTTTTTCACAGGAGTTTTCACAGCCACTCCTCCAATAATTTTTGTTTCATACACAACACGTTCTGTCTTTTCTGATGTATTGTCTTTGTCAGTCCCAACTGTGCGATGATTTGCTGATTTCTCTTCCCTGGCAGTGGAGTCATCCTTTCTCTTAGTGGGATGTACCTTGAAATGTGGCAAAGGTTGAAGGTTTCACAGTAAATCAAAGATAGTGACGTTGTGAAATATAGTTTGTAAATCAGGAGATCCTGGGAGTGTAAAGATCCTCATGACCAGGAAAAATTATTAGAATCAGCAAAAAAAAGTGGCTGTCGAAGCTTACAAGATTTGAAAGTGCTGGCTGGCTTAAGACTTTTCATTGAGAAATGTAGGTGCAGTGTAAAGAAACAACAAGAGTTTGCAATGTAATTGTTAACTAAAGGCAGATTTTCATATGTTGAAAAGTCCCACATGGTCATGATTTTGCTTTTCCCACCCATCTCAGATAATCAACCTTTAGTTGCCTGGTGACCAGCTGGTCACAATTTCAGGCCTGAAGTTGCCTTTATTTAAGTTGATCAATCCAATTGACAACTTTTAGCATAATATTAAATAGAGTTAACCTATTATTATATGAATACAAAATTTATCAATTATTCCAAATTGAACTGTTTATGATACAAACAGGTTGATACTTACAGCAGCTTTGCGGAGTGTTCGTATCCATTCTTCTCCTCCTTCTTTGGTATCAGCTCGTACGTAATATCTTTCATTACATGTTTGAATCTCTGTCAAAGTAAAATAACAATAGCACAACACAATTCTATTTGCTTCTTCAGCTTATAATGTGAATCCTTGAAAGACAATCAGTATAAAGAGCAAATTTTGACCCTTAAATTCCCCAAGATCTGATCAATAATTCTCCCCTCTAGCTGCTACACATTTCCCTATAAATGATTTACCAGAATTTGGTGTTAGATCAAGATAAAAAATTCCACCTGATAAGATTGAGTATTCTCATTACCTGTTTGCTGGATATGTATGAACACTATAGGGAGAAGTTATATTTTAATATCTTTTGGGAATAAAGGGTATAAGGCTTAAATGCTTCAAATTAAGCTCCACAACAAAGACAAGCATGCAAAAAATTTGAATTACACGAACCAAAGTATCATAATTATATCTTAGCGAGAAAAAAATTAACAAATTACTGGATACCTCAACTGCCTGATAATTTTTCTATCTACTGTCTCATATGCCCATATAAAAAAGGTTAAGTCTGTACTCTTCCAAGTGGCCCATTTAGCATGAGGTAATTCCAGTTTCCATAGCATGAAGCAACCAAGAGTATCACTACTCCCCCTAGGATGGGGAGCCATTCTATTGCAAGGTAACCCCCCAGCATTTCACCAGGCTACCCTGACAATTGGCTAGTACCCATTTATAATCCTGGGTGGAGAGGGACACTGTCAGCGTAGTGTCTTGTCCAAGAACACAACACAATTAATGACCCAGCCAGGTCCAGTGCATCTACCACATGCCCTAGTAAACTAATATTATTTAATAATAATTAATCATTACTGCAATTGGACTGTAGCCATTTTCAGTATTTACATCATTGAGATAATTAACAATAATATATTAAGTAACATCACACTTTGCCTGGTTTTCACTTAACTTACCAATACATCCTTCATTTTTTGACTTGTCCTCAATCTGTTTTAAGAGCATTAAACACAAAAACAATCAATTATAGCTAACTCACAAGTTAACTCTTGTTAACCAACACTTTAATCATTACAAGTTTAACCCTTTAACTCCCATGAGTGACCAAGACAGAATTTCTCCTTACAGTATCAATACAATATCAACCAGATAAGAGATGAGAATAAAGAAAAATATCAATTTGGGGATAATTAGTTGATCCAATACAAAATTCTCTGAACTGACATTATAAGAATTGTATGGTTGAAAGTAAGGAGAATTACAAATTTGATCTGAGAGTTAAAGGATTAAATACACGGTATAGTAACAGCAATTATAGCAATATTGTACAACTTGCATAGGTCTTGTATAAACTTATAAAAATATAATATTACAATATGTTTTTAGAAATCAAATGTATTGAAAGTCATCAAACATAAGGAGGATCTTTTTGCTTATCAATTAAATGCAGATCAAATCTGTTCTGCCAGGTGAGAATTTTTTTAAAAAACAAGCAAATCAGGACTGAAAAGCTTGTGATTCAAACATGTTGTTTCAACTTCCTACAGGGGTAATGTTCTATTTGCAAATTACAATTTGTAAAACGTTTTAACAGAAATTGCTTTTTATTGCTTAAAAGGATAAAAGATTCAAGGATAAAATGAAAATATTTCACAACTATTCACTAAAGTAGAAGGTAAATATTCACTATCACTGACATTGCATATGAGGTGAAATGTTTTAAATTATTATTTATAATAGTACCACACAGAAACCAAAACAAAAAGTTTCTGTCAATATGGACCAAAAAATGAAAGGAAATCTTACTCTTGACATACAGTCTCTCTTTTCAGGTGCTCAGAGGGGAACGATACTTTCTAATCACTTCTAAAATAGCTTATCAGTGTGTGCAAAAGACACATTTTACCTGTACGTTATAGACTTATATAAATAATTGTGAAACATTTCACTTTAAATCAGTCTAACCTTGGTAATAAGCCTGATGTTTATCTGCCCTTTATAATCCTCCCAATCCAATTTAACTTTTTCCTACAACAACAAAAGAGAAAAAAAAACATTTTAAATATAAATTCACGAGGTTGGACTGAAATACAGAAAATTATTTTTTCCCTAGTTTGATAGGCTAATACATAGTGATATTTTAATGAAACCTTTTTTCAATGGAATGCTACATGTTCATGATTGCTATTAAGCATTATTCTAGGAATCTTCAAGTGACTGCTATGTTTCTTAATGCTGTAACTTAATTTTCAGAAATTATTTTGCTGTTGCAGTCCATCTTATGCTAAAAACAGTTGAGTTGATATAAAAAAGCAAGTTGGGGTAGATTGACTTAGATGCCCAAAGTGGGGGATGACAAAAAGTTCTTGTTGCCTGAAAAAAAATACATTGCATATGAGGTGAATAATTGTTTTTAATTAGTATATACCACAAAGAAACCAAAACAAATAGTTTCTTCCTTCGAGTGACTGGTGTGTTGCTTAATGCTGTAACTTTTCAGAAATTATTTTGCTGTTGCAGTCCATCTTATGCTAAAAACAGTTAAGTTGATATAAAAAAGCAAGTTGGGGTAGATTGACTTAGATGCCCAAAGTGAAAGGTGACAGAAAGTTCTTGTTGCCTGAAAAAAATACATTGCATATGAGGTAAATAATTGTTTTTAATTAGTATATACCACAAAGAAACCAAAACAAATAGTTTCTTTCATTGAGTGACTGGTTTGTTGCTTAATGCTGTAACTTTTCAGAAATTATTTTGCCATTGCAGCCCATCTTATACTTAAATAAGTTGGGTTGACATAAAAAAGCAAGTTAGGATAGATTGTCTAAGATGCCAGTGGTGGTAGAGAATGACAGGAAGCTCTTGTTGCCTGAAAAAAATACTTATCTAGACTTCATAACTAGAATGGCTAAACAGCTCTTTGTTGTCTTGAATTTTTTAAAGAGAGAGAGATTTTTGCACTGTAACTGCAATCAGTAATGTCCAAAAGCATATGTTGCCTGAGTCAGTTTTGTTATAACCTGTTGCAATTAAATATAATGATGATCAAGAAGATATGGAGCTGAGTTATGTAACAAAAACTTCCTCACCAACTCTATGTAAAACCAAAAAGGAAACCACTGATTATTTTTCTTCAAATAGTATTACATCTGTCAGTAATCTTATTAAAGTTGATGAACTTCCTCAGTGAAGTGGTCCATAACTGTGACAGATTACTCAGTTTTCATGGCAATGCCCTGATGTAACCTTGACAAACAGTCCACAAGATGTAATTTAGAACCTGTAACATAAGCTTAATTTTTCGCATTTCTTTTTTATAATTCCTAGGAACTATTTCATTTTCTCCAAAAATTGTGACAGCATTCTGCCTAAAAGCTCAAGTTAACTGAAAAACATCTTCCTCAGGATTCAACCAAACCAGACAGGTTCTTGCACCAAGAAACGTGTCCAAATTTACAAATATAGCTGCTGGTTAAAATGGTACATTGATCAGGAAAAATATATCAAGAGCAGTTTGAATGACTGTTGTCTCAAACCAGTCACACGTTCAGATTGAGATGCGATCGAAACGCCGCGTACCCACCTCTAAGAGAACAAATCAGACTAAGCAACTTCACAGATGAAAATAATTTTACTATCAAAAAGCAAAATATTTCCTGTACATTACAAGCCGGTTACTGCAGTAACCTGTTCGCGACGAAGAGCTAAAAATAGCTGCGATAAACATAACCTTTTCCTCACTGCCTTTTGTTTTCTATTAACTTTAAAAAAATTACACCTGTATTGTGTCAGATGGCTACCCTTTGAGTTAGCAATATTCGTGACTTGGGTTCCGATGGTTTAATTCCCAATCAAACTTATAGTCTATCAATTTCCTGTTATATCCAAAATACATATCTGCTCTCACATGTCAACATTTCAGATAACTTTCTAGAAATTTCTGTACCTGAACAGAAAATATTTTTTGGCGAAACAACCAATGGAAAATTAAAGTTAGTGTATAGTGATCAAGAATACGGAAGTGTTTGTAGACAGTATGTCTTTCATTGATCAGAGTGTTAATTAGGTTCTCTTGATCGAGGGAATTAATCGTTTACACAGAAACAAATCAAAGACAATTTCCTACTGACCTGTTCGTTCAAAGGGGAAAAATAACGAAGCAAACATTTGTCTTCGTCCAGTACAAAGTAATAGCGGTCCCACTGTCCATCGCTTTCTTTACGCTGAAGCGTTCCACAAAACCTTCCCTCTGAATCTCGGAGAGGCATACTGCTTGATAATGTCAAGCGCGGGAAACTCACAACACGAAACTGTACACACTATAAACTGTCAAACGAACAACTGCAACCTGGAAACTATCCACTGTACATAGAAATACGAAGAAATCTGGATGCTAAATCTGTAGAGCGAAACCGCTCTCTTAAAAGAACTGAAATAACTCAAAATGCTAGCTGCACCTCTTTGTAAGTAAATAAAAATTCACCGAATGGGATCTTCGGCAATCTTCGGTAACTTTCGTCGACAAGACGTCAGAATGAGATCAGTCGATAGTGTCTCGCTATAGACCGATCTTTAACATAATCGGACAATCGCAACATGGCAGATCGACCGGCCTGGCTCAGAAAGAAAATTGGGGGAATTTTGCTCGATATTTCTGGCGTCCTTTATAATGCTAATGAGGGAGGTGGTGAAGCTATTCCTGGATCTGCTGAAGCAGTTAAGAAGTAGGTTGGAAGATCGTAACTGAGAGGCATTCTAACTGAAAGTTTTTACTTGAAATGTTTTTTCCTGCATCTTATAAGAGTTTATTTATAATACAAATTTGACCAACGATTTTGAGAATTAAAAAAAAAGAAAAGAAAAACAGACTGTTTATTTCTCCTTTTATTCATATGGTGAATTTTGTGAGGTGATTTTTTGTTTTTTAATTCGTTTAGTTTTTCTTTGTCCCGAGGAGGTACTGGGGATGGGTTCTTTAGCGAGAGAATTCAGAGTCACCAGTGCTTGACAGAAAACAAAGCAAAATTTGCAGTTTGTGACTAAATTATTAGAATAAGGGGTGGTACACAACATGCCCAAATTTTCTCTAAAGGGGGGGGGGGGGGGTGTATAAGCCTAAGAAAAAGAGGTTGAAAGGGTACAGAAGGAGGAAGGCTGATAGGCAGCCGAACAGCAGAATGAGAACATACATAAACCTCTGACCCCTTAGAGTGACGGGCGTTTAATTTCTCCTTACAATATCATCCTGAATCACATATTAGGGTCATGAGAATAAATGAAATGATCACCATCTGAAGAAGTTTTTGAGTCCTAAAACAAACTCTCCTTGTCAGCACTTGAGGAAATGTATGAAAAACAGTATCAAGAATATGCATACTGATGTTAGGGCATAAATTAAATTAATCATAAGCATTGTTTGGCAACAAAGGATAGAAGATGGGAATCAAATGTGCAAGAGGTCGGCAAGCAGGGTATAGCAAGTGAGACACTTCACTAACACCCCTCCCCCACCTATTCATGGGTGTGTGTTAATTAAATAATAGGGTTTTTTCAACTGAGCAAATGGCGAAAGGCTGAAGATTGAAATGTCAGCTTTGAAACTCTTTACAGTAGCCAATTTACATTATCAACTCAACTATTAAAACCTAATCATCTTCAGTTGTTATACTCTCCCACTAATGTAGCACCACAGTTTTTTTTTTTTAGAAACTTACCTTCTTTATTGAATGTAAATGAGACAACCTGAGCTTATAATGAGTCTGATATATACCCCTAGCCTGTGAAGATTTCAATTCAAACACTTTTGAAATTAACAGGCCACACAGTGGAATTGAGCAATCACAGTGCATGTACCAACTGAGAGATGTGATAAACAGTGGTGTTGTTTCTGACATTGTTTTGTTAGCTCTCTTATACCAGTCATTTTACTAATCATATGTTTTCCCCCTGAACAAGGTACAGTGATTATTGTGGTAGTACAAAATTGATTGAAAGACTTAGCTGCTTAATATTTAATTCACTGAGTTAAATTTTCATAGAAGTTCCAAGACTTATTTTAAGTTCAAACAGTGACTGAGTTCATCATGTTTTTTTCTGTTACTTTTTACTGAAGGCTGAAAGCAGCTGGTTACAAGGTGCAGTTTTGCACAAATGAGGATACTTGCACAAGAGAGCAGCTTGTCCTCAAACTTGGACAATTTGGATTCAACCTGTCAGCTAATGAATTACTTGCACCATCTCCTGTTGCAAGAAAGATTCTTCAGGATCGTAAACTACGCCCGTTACTTCTGATTCATCCCAAAGGACTTGCAGAATATGAGGGAGTGGATTGCACCAATCCCACCTGTGTTGTTGTTGGCGGAGCTGAAGATCAATTTACCTATGCACGCATGAATGAGGCCTTTAGACTACTTTTAACTTCAGATAATCCAGTTCTTTTTGCTTTAGGACATGGGTGAGTTATTGTAGAATCCCTACCAAAGGAAGGAGGACTGGCAAAGAACATTTGCTACTCAGGGATTTGTAAAATCAGGGATTCTTCCAAAATTCTTCCATCACTGTAGTCAAAGCACTTGATACCTCTGTAAACGGTTGCCCACATTTACAGACTTAGGTAAGCTGACAGAAGTCTCACTCATGTGGAACCTGGTCTGGTTGACTCTTATTAGTTTTTCCCTGGTCTCAGCCTGGTTTGTTTCTCAGTCTAAAAATCCCTAACATCTCTCTTCATTTGGTTTCACGAGAGGTCAAGTGAACAAATACCCTCTTCTCTGTCTATAACAAGATCAAAACTGAGACTTGCAAGCCAGTGTAAAGTGCTAGACATAACTCAGTTGCACCTCAGACTTTACCCTACAGTCTAAGATTATACAAGACAATGCTGTTGAAATTTCTGATGTTTTTTAATGTTGTTTTTCAGCCGCTATTACAGAAGTGGTGCAAATCTAGTCCTTGATGCAGGTCCATATGTAAAGGCCTTAGAGGTTAGTTGTTAGTCCTCTTGCTGTTTTTTTTGTTCTGTCAGTGAGTTGATTGTTTGAAAATGGCTATTTTTCCATACCCCTTAAGAGTTGTTTTGTTATTTTAATGATAATTTCTGTCTTCCAGTTTGCTTGTGATGTAAAAGCTGAGGTTATTGGTAAACCTTCAGCTTCTTTTTTCCTAACTGCTTTGGACAAAATTCAAGTATTACCTGAAGATGTAAGTGTTAGTTAAATTCTTATTTGAGAAAACTTTTCACCCCCTGATGTCATAATTTTTTTTAGTTTTTTCTGATTATCCTCTTTTTTTTTTTTTTTTAATTTTTAGGCAGTTATGATCGGAGATGACATTGTATCAGATGTGGGTGGGGCCCAGGCATGCGGGATCAGAGGAGTACAAGTTAGGACTGGAAAATACAGGTATCATGAAGCATTCTTTTATTTTGTACGTTAGGCATGCATTTTTTGAAGGACAAGTATGCCCCATAAACCATGTTATTTATCTACATCATGAAAAATTGTACATGAAATTATGACACTGATCCCACTTTGAAGTTCCAAGGAGTCACCCAATATGTAGAAAGTATTCCTCAAATATGTCAAACTTCAAACTTTGGATATCCAAAATTTTGTGTTGTTCAAAGGATATTATGATTTCAACAAAATAAGTTCTGCTGTAAGGAAACAAATTGAAAGATTATGTGGGTGAACTGGTAAGGTGCAGACAAACTTGTTTTACTGCAGGGGGCATACTTGCAAAGGTGATTGGGGGGAAACCTTTAGCTACCAATGTAAGCTGTTACAATGAAGGCCTCAAAGCTCTAATGGGGAAGCAAGCATGCAAATTGTGAATTTTTGCTTCTGATACCTTAAATTCTCACTTTGGATAAAATGCTTTTCATGTCGTAGACCTGGAGATGAAAACCACCCTGCTGTAAAACCTGATGGATATGTGGACAATCTAGCACAAGCTGTGGAGCTCATCCTCAAATACAATTGAGCAGAATATTACACTGAATGAATGAATTGGTGTGTAAAGACAAAGGATAGTCTAGTTTCATCAAAAGAGAATGTTGATATAGGAAAAGCGAGAAAAGAGTTCAAATCAGTCAGGATTGGCTTTGTACATCAATATGTTCACCATCTCATTGGTTTGGTAACAAATCAGGGTGCCTAGATGTCATGTGAAAATGATCTATTGGGCAACAGTAATGGGTTTTCAACTAATGTTTGAAAAAGAAAATAACTTTAAAAAAATATAGGATATTTACATTAAAAATATTAAGTAGAGTAACTATGTTATGTTAGAAAAGATGAAACATTTATTTCTCTCTAAAATTATGTTACAGCACTTGACAAGAAGAACATAATTTTGTTTGGCATAAGTAATAAAAGGTTTGCAAAGTTAGTTGTTCTCTCTCTCTACTACCTTAGAGCATATTTCAGGCCAAAAGGAGATTTAAATCACGACCAGTTTTTTCTATTGAAATATTAGATCTAGTTAAATGCAATTTAACGGAGTTAACAACAAAGAGCATTAGCATTCTCTAGTAGTCAGTGGTTTTTTGCATATATGCATGCATGAGAGTTCCATGTGCTCTTCATTTGAGGCATTCTTGCATGTGCTTTGACTGTGAACTTGCAGCATTGTGAGGAGTGCCAGCTCATCATCCAGGCAGTTTTCCCCACCCTTCCCTCCCTCTTTCCACTGTTTACTCAGTGTGATGGGTGCCTGTCTCCCTTTCCTGTGTGGGGACTCACGGCTGGGTTGCCAGGATTTGCCAGCCATGGGAGAAGTCTCCATATAGGAGCTGGCTACCAATAGCAGAAGCTCCTGGATGTTTCAGGCACTCAACCTCCACTTAGTGATGCAGTTGTTAAACAAAGGAATTCAAGTTCTAACCAAATGAGGTTTCCCTTGTTTTCCAGTTCTTCAGCACAATCTATTTATGACAGAGTAATGTGTACATTGCTTTTCCTCTAAGAACTAAAGACATGGTCACTTACTCTAATTGGACTAAGAGAAAACAGATCTTGAATTTCTGCTGATGTTTTTTTCTTTTTTTTTTTTTTTTGGCTACTTAAAAAGGAGTGAAACAAGAAATCCGTCTACCTACTACTTGGTTATTTGTTTTGGTACTACCAGATTGTAAGCAATTACTAATGAACTTTATTTTATAGCTGCTATTTATCTATTAAAATTCTTATTTATTATTAATAGTGTCATTGTGGTTGTCCATATTTGTTATTCAGACTGCGGGAGATGTAATTCCAGTACTCTCTCCTGATGTAGTCAGCATCTGTGGCAAGTTTATTGCACAACTTAAAAAACAAAGAATTAAGCCATAATAAGAAAATGGAAATGACTTGTGGAGACACAGTGGCACAATGGTCAGTGATAACCAAGGCATTTTTATAGTACAAAAATTGACTGGCCAAAATGGAGGTGCAGCTTGTAGATTGGTGTTAAGGGTAACTTTTAGGTTAAGAAAAGTGGTACATAAGAGAACTCTGTCAAAGGGTTTAAATAAGTTAACCCTTTGATCCCTAAGACTTACTGCATCCAATTTCTCCTTTCAATTTCACTCTTGAATTGACCATGAAGGTCTCAAGAGTAAAGGAAATGATCACCAACTAAAGAAACTCTTGATTGTGAAAGAAATTCTCCTTTACAGCAGCTCTGGAAACATTAAGAGAACAGTATGGAGAATACACATACTGATGTTAGGGTGTAAAGAGTTAAAATGAAGAGTACAATCAGGCATCCAACATACCTCCAAAGCCTGTTCCAAACAGTTTGGGTCACTGACTCCACCCTCGAGCTCTTCTTCAGAGATATCAATCAATGTAGCCATTAAATACAGAGAGTCAATTCCATTACTGTACATTTCCACCAAAGTGTCCTTCAGGCCAGGGTATTTACTAAGACCAGTCGGGGCCAGAACTCTAAAGGACAAAAAAATCAATCACCAACTTTATTTTAAGGAAAGGTTATTTTGTTTATCTTCTTTTTTTTTGGATAATTTGGTTTTATGAACTGAATTGATAAATAAATGTAAATTGGCCACATAAAGAGTTTCTAAAGCTGACATTTCAAGTGTTAGCCCTTCGTCAGAGGACAAGAAGAATTGTGGGTTGTGTGATTTACATGCAGAAAGATGGAGCTATGCTATTGGTGGGAACATGGTAACCTGAAAAGTTTTAATTTGTAACCTATTGAGTTATCTTTAACTTTTTTGAAGGCTTGTGACATCTAAATTACCAGTAAATAAACCTGCATTTTTTGGTTGTTCTTATGGTTGTGGAGATACTGGGTTATATAAAGGGAAAGCAAATGCACTATGCGGTTTGGCTTGAACTGCCTGGGTTACAGCTGAGAAACACCTTGTCATGTCTGTGTCTTGTTCTAATCCCTTCTTGTTCAAACTTTTAGCTTAATATTTCATATGAGGATACTTCTACCTCTATATTAAGAACACATGAGGCTGCTAGCAGTATATATATAACATCATACAAACTTACAGTCAACATACATAATAACAACAATGGACAGATTTCAGTCTACAGTGCCACATCCATGAGCTCATGGAAGTTTACCACACTTTGTGGAGGATTTTTATTGGCCAGACTAAATTGAGCAGTTATTTTTTTTGAAAGGAAAACTTGCGGTAGCCCCCAAATTTGGAAACAAAGCAAGACCAAAACACTAGGAGCTACCTTTCTTACTCTTAGGGAGAGGTGTGTGGGTTCTTTAACATTCCCTGTGAACCAATACGGAGAAAATGCAGGAGATGGGGCCTTGGGTGTATCATCCTTGTCCAGGAAGACTACAATGTCTAACCATTTGTGGATTTCATAGCAAAAGCAGCACATTCTGCTCAATTATTTGAAGCTTTAACCATTCACATCATCACACCACAGCCTGGTACTCTACAACATAACCTAACCAGGTGGCAATATGTGTGCTGTGCATGCACATATTATTATACTATAGATCAAGCTATGTACTTTGCAACTGATATGTTTACTTTTCTGAGTTTTCCATGGCTAGTGAACAAAGCAAGGGCTTTCCCTTCTCTGACATATACCTTCTCCATCATTAAATCCCCATGAAGAGATCATGAAATTCATGTGAAACTTCCTCACTTAACAATTGCACGAGCTTCAAATTGATATTTCATCATTTCTTAGATTTGTTAAAGACTCTTAAGAAATCTCAACACTTACCCTTTCAAATAATTCCAAGCGCTTTCATTGTTTGGCACTTTCTGAATAAGATTCATTGTGAGCCTACAAAAGAACAAATTTAGAGGATTATGAGCTCACTTTTCAGTTTAGAGAAGACTGCACTACACATGAAAGTGTTCAAAGTCATTCCTTCCTGAAATAATTGTCCTTGTGTGAATTTCATTTTTCAAAACAAAGAAGGACCCTCTATGTTCTTTGAGGAGCACCTTTCAAAGGATTATTTTGCACTCTGCATTGAGAATTTGTTTGAATTTATATAATGGACTAAATCAAAGAAAACAGGAAGTCAGCATACCATCTTACAAGAAAATTCTTCCATCTAGGAAAGCCATCATCTTCTAATTTACCATATGATTGAATAACAAGTGAAACAATGTGTAATAGGGATGTAAATTGTATTTATAAGGAATGGCCTTGAGCAGAAATAAAATGGCTTCATCCATACCCATGTAACAGCTTAGTGTTTCACTATTGAAAGGATGCCAAAATTAAAAAAAATAAACTGCAAAAAGAAAATAAGTGCATATGCCAGCATCCTAATGAAAACATTCTTCAATCTTAATACTTGACTGTGTAGGTGTGCCATCCAAATTCAAGACACTCATAGTAATCCACAAGTTGAGATACAGTTGTGGCTACCTGAAAGTTCCTGCTTATTTGGTTAGCTAACTCCAAAAAATGATGGGACCTACCATTTTCAGAATTTGGTGGTGTTTCCCTTAACTTAATTCTCTTAGAGAAATTGGTATAACTATTACATACTCACTCCACTTCTCTATCTACAATATCTTTGGTGAAGCCTGTAGTTTTGGAGACTACAAAATATCTTTGATTCCAGGCAGAGTTATTGCGGAGATCTTCAGTTAAAAGTTTGTCAACATAATCAAGCTCTTTCTCCCATAAACCAAACTCTTTGATGACCCACTGCCGATGTTGCCAAGCATGATAGTTCTTAGCATCCAGTTGTAGAATATCCTCAGTAAACTTCAGTTCATTGCTGGGATCTTTCAGCCATTCAAGAAGGACTTTTCTGTGATACCTGACAAAACAAGAATAAAACTTCATTACAGGTAAATTGATTCATTTTAAATACTATTCGTCTTATTTTCTTCTTTTTAACCCTGTACACCCTAACATCAGTTTGCATATTCTCTATACTGTTCCATATACATCTCCTAAGGTGCTGTTAAGGAGAATATGCTTAAAATTCAAGAGCTCTTTTAGTTGGTGATCATTTCCTTTATTCTCATGACCTTAATGTGTGTTTCAGGGGTGATATTGTAAGGAGAAATTAGATGCTGGTCACTCTCAGGGGTCAAAGGATTAAAGGAAGGTAGAACACATAAATCAGAACTGTTGATGAGATGTCGTGCTCATTCAAAAAACTGGTGGCTATCGAGACATTTCCAAAATAGCTTCAAAATGCATATAAAACTATCCCATATCTGACAACAACTGAAAACATTGCACTAGACAGTATAAAAAATATATTTTTAAAAAAGTTGAAAATAACTGATGTTTTGGTTAATATTTCAGCCTTAAATTAAAGGAAAAGAAATGTGTTTTCTATAAAAAGAGTTGAATACCAAATTTTGGCTGATAATAAAAAGGATTTCTGTGCCCTTATTGCTAACAAAACTACTGTTGTAGCAAGGAAAAACTAGGCACTAATCTATACTTACCAAACTTGGTAATTTTTTGGTTGTTCTTTGATGACATCAGTTATAAACTGTAATTCTTGCTGTAAGTCTTTGTTCAGAGATTTCAGCAGCACTCTCCGGAAATGCCTTTCAAAGAGTAAATCAGTCACAATGATTGTGATTTTATTTTCTTCATTACTTACTTTAACCACTCTGTTCTTTAACCCTTTAACTTCCAAGAGTAACTAAGACAAAATTTCTCCTTAAAATATCAACACAGAATCAAGCAGACTATTGAGGAGAGTAAGAAGAAAACTCAATTAGGGGACTGCAAGTTGATCCAATACCAAATTCTCCAAATTGTAATCACAAGTATTTCATGGTAGACAGTGGGGAGAATTACTTATAAGATCTTGGTAGTTAAAGGGTTAGATCAACCTTTGGTACCAAGTCTGATCTGTTTCAGAAAAATGTCTGTTTGGCAAAAATTTTTCATCATTTTTCCCACAAAAATGGATCTAATTACAGCAGAGGCTCTTTCATCTAACACAGCTTCTGTGTCCAATTTTATTAAATTACCTCACAACCTTCCATAGCTCTTTGCAATAGATTTACAATACATTTCCCCCAAGTAAACAGTGAACTGAGATCTCAGCATGGTAACCAAGATAGGTACAATGGACATGCAGACAAAATTTTTTGTTCCACTTAGGCTACGAAATCACAGAGGGGAAGGGGGGGGGACAGACATGTATTAAAAGATCCTCAGGTGGTGAACTCCCTGTTTCAAAGCAGTCAATCTCTAAACCCATAGGCACAGAGCTGAAAAACAACTGCACAGGTCACCAACTTTCATGTGCCTCTCGCAAGAAACCATGGCAACAGTACTGTAAACTAACAGAAATTGGAAACATTTAGATGTGCAGTTTTCTACCCAGGTTAGGAATTGAGAAAAAAGGCCGATCCATTTTCAACTGGAGCACCAAATATCTCTTTGATACCACAGTTACATTCTATTAATAATTTTAATGCAATCATGTATTTTCTTTAGAACTTTCTCAAAATTTATCTTGAAAATGCATTCTGGGTGCTCCTCAACGATTGTTGACTGCTTAGCACTTTCAACCCCTAAATCTCAAAAGCAATTATCCCGACTGTTTGCTATATGTTTCCTCTAATGTCAGTTATAGGAATTTGGTGTTAGATCAAATTATTACCCCAGCTGATATTTTACTTTATTCTCATGAAATGTGTGCTTGACCTTGGAGTAAAAGGGTAAAGCATGTCTAACAATTCTTGATGTGGATAGAGGATAACAGTAGTTTTAACTTGTAAAGATAATGACCTTGTTGTTTGAAGGGCAACAAATGCTTTACAATGAATAAATCATTGTGTCGCATGTTTTGTAACACTAATTCATTGAATAGCAATTTATTAAATGGGTAGTGTTAGCTTCCTTTTGAAAAACTGGGCCAATGTCTTGATGAGGTTGTTAAATTGTGAGGATCGACAAAAAGAAAAAAGTGAGCGGGCATATTTATTTACTAACCAGACTGTGTAATTCGCTGGATTAAGGCTGATAGCGTCTTCCGTGAGCTCAAGAGCACGTTCACTTCTCTCGTCAGCCAACAGAACTGCCCTGAAGTAGTCAAAGACATCCTTGACTGCAAAAATGCAAATACTCGCATCAATATGTATACATGTGTAAGTTGTACAAAAACTTATCGTTTAAACTAAATTGCTACAACGTGACAAATTGGAATAACTTTATGCACGCCATGATTAATTAACACTGCTTATGTCACTATTTTCTTAATAATTGCTACCGCTTCTTTAATAATTTTTACTTCAAGAGGGATAAAGACATTTAGAGAAGTTAAGATAAGATACGAGCTTTAGATTCCAATTCCACAAAACAAATTTAACTAGGTCTCGAGAGCGTGTGAACTATTCAACCAGTACATACACTTATCAGAATACGCAATTCTCACAACTGGATAAGGTCCATCATCCTGTTCAACAGGAGTGATATCTTTCCATTCTTCACGATCGTGATAAAACACGAAATTTTCCTCCAGTCCGTCTTCATCGCCCGAACTTTCCGCCATCTTGCCTCACTTCGGCTGAATAACGATAGATGTATGAAGAGGTCTGGGTTCTAGGCGACGCCGCTGTGATAGCGTTCTGTCTGGGTACTCAGATTCCAGCGACTGAGGTTTACGTATGTTGACTTAAAAAGCCATAGAGAGACATGATTTAGAATCTCTTGTCGAATCTTCCGATACTGCAGCTGAGGCCCTTTTTTTTTCAGACGAAAGATGATCTCTGCCAAACCTGTTTACGAGAATGTGTTGCACAGGAAGACTCTCATCCCCCGATTTCAGTATCAATTTCAATGTTAGCTGAGTATCGCTTCCTCCACTAAATGATCAGTTAAATCTGCAACTCTGGAGCTAAAATCTATACAGGAGTCGCTGTGGAGCTGTCTTAAAGTGCCTCGAAGTTTGTATAATTGACGACTACTCATGATCATGCTCAGTGTATCTGAGTCCTACTATTAAGTTGAGAGCACACGAGAAGACTTCATTAAGAGTCAAGTGTTGTCTAATGATCAGTGTAACTGGAAGCTAGCTCTCCGATGAAAATTGCCATGATCTCTTGTTCGAATGCTATCTATATACTAGCTAACTTGAGAGTCAAGGTACTTTGGTATTATCAAATGAGTTGATAACGTAAATTGGCCACCGTTGAGAGTTTCAAAGCTGACGTTTCGAGCAGTAGCCCTTTGTCACAGCAAGAGTCACCCGGGTACCTTAAAGTTCCGTGTCTCTCATAAAAGTAACGGCATGGTTAATCTGCGGCAGTGGATCTCTAAACTACGAGGATTCGATATTGAAGTTCAAGACTCCTTTTCGAATTACTTCCTAAGATATTTTCTAAGTAATGACAAGAGAGCCCTTACCGAAACGTGACTTATGTTAAGAGTCCTTTGAATCAGTTTCTAATACAGCCATAGTTTCTGGGACTCGTAGAGGAGATGTCGCTTTCTTCATGGTTATTTGGTTAAAGACCGACCTGGAGTCGTTTACATGGCCCATGTGAGCGTCTGGTAGTTCAAAGTGTAGAGAAAAAAGAGTTTTGCTATTTACGTGACTCAGTATTTGTACAGGAGGCAGCTTTAACCATTTTAGGAAGAAACGATTGGAAAACAGAGACGATAGCAAATGACAAGAGATTTATAATCTCTGTCAAATGACGAACTGGGTGAGTACACAAAATTTTTTTAATAATTCAATTTTGGAGTCCTTTTCTTGGGTTCGAGATGAAATGATCGCTTACTTATTAAATCAAGATGTTAGGATATTTTACAACATACCGATTTGCAGTCAAAGCTTGATCGTGGTTGTTGTGCATGTATAAGATTCTGTGACCCAGAATTCAGCTTCAAAAAACACGTCTAGCTGTATTTGTTTGTTTCTTTGTTTTTCGAATTTGTTTTTAACCTTTTATTTTACCATAGGTTTGAATTGCCAGATGGTGGCTTTAAAGTAAAGTCGCATGGTGAACATATGGTAAACCTTTTCCTCTTCCACCAATATTTCATCTCATTTCCTCATGTATGATCTTTCAGGGATATGCGATTGAATTCTCGTTTTAGTAACTTTTCCTTTCTTATCGTTTTTCTTATTCGACAATTTGAATAGCTATGCGATTACATCAGCAGCGTTAAGCAGGTACAGTGAAAATCTGCCTTTCAGTAGAACAATACCTCTTGTTTACACTGACGACAGAGGTGTCCAAATTATGCATACAGATGCGTAGAGATGCATAAATTACGAGGACAGTGAAGTGAGCGTCGTTCGAACCCTGGGTAGCCATGTCGATTCTTTGTTTTACAGGATGTTTTGTTTCCCGGCAAATACTCGATCTATGATAACAAGATAACACTAGATGTGATATTTGATTGAAGAACTTAAGTTCTAGTTTAAGATGACTCAAATTGGAGATTCTCAGCGGAAAGAGCAAGTGAAGGAATTTCAGCGAAATGCACATCGTTTACTATCCGATGATGATCGTCATTATTTACATTATACGCTCAAAGAATACCAGACTTACAAGTCGGTGGAAAAGTTGGTGCTTGCACTCAAATCATGCTTGGATAATCCTCGCAAGAAGGACCTACTTGTGGATATTCGAAACCTCATTCCACCCGCACATTTGAGCAAGTTTGATAGTTTAGCTCCGTACAGCGAAATGGCGCATCCTTTCGAACCACCTAATCACGCAGCTCAGCATCGGAAGACGCAGAGTTTGCCCCACAGTTACAAAAACAGCGAGTTGCGAGCTCTTGGAAGGAGTTCCTCGCCGAATAATAGCGGTTCTTTTAAAGTGATAACCTTGACAAGAACTTCTCCCGAAGATTCATTGGGTTTCAAAATAAAAGGAGGCCGGGATTCTGACAGTGTGCTCTATATCTTTGAGGTAGACGATGATTCCTCTGCTGCTAAACAGGGTCTCAAAAAAGGAGATCAGTTAATTGAGGTCAACGGAATAGATTTTGAGAAGATAACCAAAAGTTCCGCTGAGAACCTTCTCAGTACGATGAATAAAATGAAATTGGTCGTCAAGTCGGTTGGTCTTGCAGCAGGACTTGATTTATCTGATTCCTGGTAGGTATCCAACTATCAAAACTAGATAATGTAATTGAGTCATTTATGTTATCTCAGTTCTTAAGTTTTATGTTTACCCCACTCAAAGACTTGTACTACGCCTTGCAGAAGTACATATGCGCTAAAACAATTGTTACTACGGCAGAAATAACAAGTTACACGCGTATGACTTTTTTGTTTATCCATTCGTGACGTCCACTTAGATTTCGCTAATACACGTTACTGCAGGTATATTTTTTTGTGCCAAAAAATGCATAGATTTTTTCTATTTTGCAAACCGCAAATGTAGTCGTGGTTTGCGGTGCTTTCGATATTGCTATGCAGCATGATTATCGCCAATATTGCGACAAATTTTAGGTACTGTTTACTTTTGAATATTGTAGCTGTTATGTCAAACTTCGAAGCTGGAATCATGTACCTTTTTTCCAATGCTTTGATTCATGGTCATTCCAATTAATGGAAATCGCATTAAAATTACAGTTGCATTTTAGTATCTGTTGGTGGTATACCCCTTACTAAAGAATACCTTGCTCAGACAGTAATATTTTCAGAGATGGCCGTCTTCCAGTTGAAATGATTGCTTTTCGTGAAAGTTCAGCTAAATACTCACGTTTTGACCTGACGCCACATTTTTGACCTTCAGAATAAACACATGTAACACTGAATAATTTAACTTGCTTTATTGGAATTCTGTTAAGATTTTAATCTGCCACCAAAGTTAACTTAGAGATTAGTTTATTTCTAATAAACATTGCCGTCATTGTCGCGGCACTGTTGAACAGCACGTCAGCATGTTGCGTGCCATTTTTGCACTTCATTGCTTTTTGGATTAAACGTTTAGTAAAATCATCGATGCTTTTCAAGTGCTTAGTGTATCCGCTTTAGCCCACTGTAGCCAATATCAATGTCTATCACGTTGATTTACCGTTACCGTGTGTAGGAAAGCTAACTCGAGGAAAGATCCGCTGAACAATGTAGCATATTATTGTTGGATTTGCCCTTTACCGTTCCACTTGCATGAATTTTAAGGGTGACGGCTTAAAACGGCGGCGGAAACTATTACAATAAATGAGATTGATTAAATTTGTCGAGTGATCACTTTGTAAGTGTTGACATTGGATAGTATGAATATAATTGTATGTTTTGACTCCTCGATCATCAATAACTTTTGTTCCGAAACAGCCATTTGTGAGAGTCTGTATCATGCCTCAACAAGTTCCTATTATAGCTACTTAAAGTAATAAAATCATTGGGATGTCTCTGAAGCTTTCACCTGTATCTTTAAAATTAGATATTGCAAATTAACTTTGAGTTTAAAACTGGGAGAAACTTTCAAGAAAAGGAAAATCTTTGTCTCCTGGGAGACCGAGTACATAAAATGTAATTTTGATTAAGTTGTTGATGTATTAACTGTTAATCTGTAGGGTGACCAATTATTGTTACATTTATGTATATCCAGTCATATCTCAATATAATATGAGATCTAAAATATTTTAGTACAGGGTTAACTTTCTGAAAAACTGGAACATCACCAAATTTATGATATATCTAAATTAGATGATGTTAACAAAACTTGTACATCAACAATGTGACTCAATTTTAGAATCACACCATGTTTTACAAAACTTACACATTCATATCCCAAAAGGGCTATGGGTGATGATTTTGTTTTGTTGTTTTCTTTTGTGCTCCCACAATATGTTAAACTATGTGGGAAGAATTTAGAATTACAAAAAGCAAAGCATTTTATCTTTTGAATACTTTTGTGACCTTGATTCAGGTTATTTATTGAAGTGGAAAGGTTATTTAAAGAGGTTAAGATAGAAGACTTTTTCCACTCTAAGAGAACATTAAACTTTGATGATTAACACTTAAACTGATTTGTTGTATTTTGATGTTTTCATTTTAGGGGTCACAGGAATGGTAAAGTTATTCACAATGGAATAGATGAGAGTGATAGTTTGCAGGTAAATGTCTTTTAAAAACCTGTCATATTTGCAACCACTTGTTGCAGCAATCAAAGGTATATTTTTGTCTTTTGAAAGATACAGAGTTACTTCTCTTTTTTCCTCCATTGCAATTATATATTTATGGTACCTCTGTGATCAAATTCTCCCCTGTTCATGTGGTAGTCATTGGATTAAGATTAAATATCCTAGCCTTCTGTTTGAGTGGACAATTATTTCTTCTGAGAGAAATTTTGGATTAGTTGAATTAAAAACTTAATTTTTCAAGTCCATATTTATATATTATTGGAATTAGAGTTATCCTGTTTTGTATTTGTACTTTGCAAATTCTGAATTCATTTTGTGTCTGACACTTAATATTTCTTTGTTGTCTAAAAGGAGTTTGTTCTCTTTAATTGCTAAATAGATATATTTGGCATGAATATTTGGCAGCTTTTACAAGCTAGAAAATTTTAAAGTATCAGTGGTCTTTGTTTCTTTCCTTGTAATGTTCTACTGCTTGCTCAGATCCATGTGAGAGAGAAAAATTACAGGGTACTTCCCAGCACAAATTGTAGCCATCTTAATCTTTTCACCTCAGGGGGTGATCAAAAAAGAATTTCTCCTCACTGCATAAATCCATTTCCAAGCAGCAAGGTGATGAGAACACAGAAAAATATCAGTTATGGGATATTAATTGATGCAACACTAAAATTTGAGAGCAGAAATTAAAAGACATGTATGGCAAACAATATATAGAATTGATATTTTGATCCTGAGAGTATAAGCGTTCCTTACCAATTCAAAATATTAACCTCCCAAACAATTTTCAAGTAGTTGTCTGATTTAATGATTATCTAGCCAAATTAAATGTTTTTTTTTTTTTATTGCAATAAGGTTTGATACAACATTTATACACCCCAGTATCTCATTAGTAATTCTCCTTACTGTCGGCCATACAATTCTCATGATGTTGCTTTGGATAATTTGGTATTGGATCAACTGATAATCCCGTAAAAAAATTGATTTTTTTACCTTTTTCTCATCACTTTTCCTTTTGATATTGTATTGATATTGTAAGGAGAAATTCTGTCTTGGTCAGGTATGGGTTAGTGAAGGGTTAACCTTGTATTTTGTGATCAGGCTAGCAGTGGAAGTGGCAGTAGTAGCATAGCTCTTCAACATAATTCCCATTTGCTGGACAAAGCTGATGAGAGGAAAGTTAACCTTCAAGTAGAGTCAACAACCAATGGTTTTATAGGATTTAACATTCGTGGTGGAAGTGAATATGGCTTGGGTCTCTTTGTATCTGGGTAAGAACAATATACATGAATGTTTTTTTTTAACAGACATTTTCTTAGTTTGTTGGACTGGCATTTTCTGTTCAGCCAAAGTTTTGTAATTTCTGGTCCAAAATTGAGTCATGTAGTAAAAATTTGGTAGAGGTTTGTCTTTGTACATTCTAAAAATGTTTCATTGTTTCATCTGTGATTTTTTTGGATTTTGCCTCTTGGCCAGGCTGATTGAGGAACAAAATTGCTCTGATTGTTATATAATCCCATGTCTTATGGCTTTCAGTGAAATTTAGACACAATCTTTCAAGCACTTATCCATGGAGTGATAATGATAAAGTTTTGTATCAAAGTTTTTATCTGGTTAGTGAGTACCCAAACATTCAAGTGGAGTGGATTTTTTAGCCTTTTGACTGCATTTGTGACAAAATGATTGAGTTGCATTTTGTTCTGATTGGTTACTATGAATTAAATTTGGTTTTTCTTTAACAACACATAGTCAAACAGCGTTCCATTTCTCCATCAGACATCTTTTTCCTTTTAATCCTGTCACCTTCTTTTGTGGGGTTTAGAAATCTTGAGATGCCATGCTTAGAACAAACTGTGACCTATCAACGAGCGCTTTTCATTCAACTAATTTATTCCTGTTTTCTCGTCACCATATTCCCACCAATGGCGTAGTTCCACTTTCTACATATAAATCCACACACAACCCACAATTCCTCTAATCGCTCTGACGAAGGGCTAACGCTTGAAATGCCAGCTTTTTTACTCTTTACGGTGGCTAATTTACATTTTCAACCCAGTTGTTAACACTAAATTACCTGCTATACTCTCCCACCAACGCAGCACCACAGTTTCTTTAGAAACTTACCCCTTTATTCATGTGACCTAATAACCCTTTAACTCCCAAGATTTGATTGTTAACTCTCTCCTCTAGCTGCTACATATTCCCTTGTATAATATTTGTGAGAATTTGGTGTTAAATCAAGATAACAACTTATGCCTGATAAGTTTGAGTATTCTCATCACCTGTTTGCTGGATGATGTATGGATGTCATAGCAAGAAGTTACATGCTAATCACTTCTAGCATTTCAAAGGTTAACAGATCATTTATTCTTTGTTTAGCATTGATCGTGGTTCACTGGCAGAGCAAGCTGGCTTCAAAGTTGGTGATCAGATCATGGAAGTGAATGGAAAGAGCTTTGAAAACCTCAAGCACAAAGAGGCAGTTGATTTTATTAAATCACAAAAACACATAATGGTTACACTAAAGGTAATATTTATTTCCATTTCCTTAACTTTTAAGCTGTCAGTCCACTTATAAGTGATAGAGATTCTCTGATCATGATTGTAATTAAGGCTTTTCATTGAATGGTAGGATTTTATATGTTCATATACTTCATCATCCACATTAGCTCTACGCCTTTTTACCTGATTTGTTATCAATAACTTTTGCAGCATGCCTGGCATAATTTGAGAGTGAAGTGGTTAACCTTTTAAACCCCAAGAGTGACCAGCATTTAGTTTCTCCTTACAATAACACTACTGAATCATTCATTTAAGATCATGAGAGTAAAGGAAATGATCACCAACTAAAGAAGCTCTTGATTGTTAAATAAATTCTCCTAATCAGCTCCTTAGGAAATGTTTAGATATCAATATGGAGAATATCAATGCTGATGTTAGGGTGTAAAGGGTTTAAAGTTTTTATTTGTTGTGGATCACATGGATCAATGTTGGTATCTGAGAAACTGTGTACCTACCCCTCCCTTAATCCAACAACAGTCAATTGATAACAAGTTAGGGTTACTGTTGGGGTTAGTAGGGGAGGGGTAGGTGCGTAGTAGCTCAGATACTGTCATTGATCCATTCATATAAACTTAACAGTAGTTTTTCACTTGTTTACTGGACTCTCCCTCTGCTAATACAATGTTTAGTATGACAAGACCATCAGAACAGATGACCATAACCTGATTTTACAATAAACTTTCCCATATTTTGCATCATTTTTCAGGCAGTGGGAAGACTTCCTGAGGCAAAACATTACCACTCACAAATCAGCTGGGTTTATCCTGATGGAAGTGTTGTGGTTGGTAAGTAATTTACTGCAACTGATCTTGAAGCAAAAAATTTAACTGACCTGGTTTTGACTATTTGCTTTATAAATGACTCTCACCCCTGGCAGAAAATTTTTTAGCATAATTTACAGCCTTCGCTGACCAAATTTTAACAGATGTATTTAGTGAAATCAGTGAGAACCACTACATACAAGAGGAAAATTTCATGTGAAGAATCTCATTTGGAAGTCTTTGGGATACCTACAGAAATCTTTTGGTGTCTAGAAATATGATTATCGGTAGGTCATCTACAAAAATCTTGGCACACTTGAGAAAATAAAATCATGACTAAGAAAGGCAGGTGTTTGCAAATAGAGTTCCAAGATTCCAGTATTTTTTTGTATAGAACTTGTATTAATAACCTCTTGCTTTCAATTATAAATCATGATATTCACTCATTGTTTTTTTCCCTCAATTTCAATTTTTAATTTTTTTAGAAGGAAAAGAAACTTTTACCAGATCTATCTCAGCTCCAGCCTCTCCAGTCTCCTCTCTAGAGCTAAGTCATTCTAGTGCCCAGTTTCCTGAATTAGGAGAAATGCCAACAAGGGACACACCCAGTCCCAGACCACAGATGCGAGAAGCTAGTGTCCAGACTCCTCAACCTTCTCCGGAACCTCCTCCAGAACCTGTGCCAGAAACAAGAGAGGAAGTTGTAGTTGTTCATGTGAAACAGGATTTTGCAGATTTACAAAGAACACAGAGCTCTAAAAGTCTGGCAACATCATCAATTAATAGTGGTGATGACAGTGAAAAGCAGAACTCAATTCGATCAGCGCATTCTTATGAGAGTGTCAGCAGCAGTAGAGAGGAAATGGCTAAGAGGTATTCAGTTTCTAGCATGAGCAAGGAGGAAGCCATTTTGAGCGGCAGTGATGGTGAACTGAATGACAAAAGGAAAGTGAAGAAATCCAAGTCTTTTCTTCAGAAACATGGGGACAAAATCAAATCAAAGTTGAGCTTCAGGAAGAAAGGAAAACCAAAAGTTGAAGAAAGAGGTAAGGCAGAAAATTAGTGACCAGTGTTAATTTTCTTTTCCATCTTCTTAGTGCAATAGAACTAATAAGAAAAAAGGGCTGGATCTTACTTTTTAAGTGTGGTTTCCCTTAACATGTGACCAAGGAGTTCATTTGATGTGCTCTTGACCAAACATACAGCCAAAGGAGGAAGTTTCTAAGCTGCGTCCAGGAGCATTCAGAATTTTCAGTAGGCATTGTTAAATCTACGAAGAACCGTCCACACTAAGGTGTCATGGGGTGCTACGTACAGTTTGTTGCATCTCAACTTGTGTTTTGTTAACTTTCACAATGTGTTTGTGGAGATCGTTTCTTCTCTTGACTATTTTCCCCTTTTTTTTTGTTATTGTTGTTATTGTTGTTGTGGTTGTTGGGCAGCACATCGAGGTAAAGAGAAAGTAAGACATGACACTTTTTTTCTAATTTGAAATAAAAGAGTAAGTTGAAAGTTATATCTCATAACTAATTTTTGTGTGTAACATAATTTTGCTCTTAATAGAAAACATATTGTCACCAGTAGTACATTCAAATGAGTCATTCTTTTAAATTAAGCTAACATACAATTAAGATCAGCTTAATGTAAATAAGTTAACCTGTTGCAGCTATAACAATTGTGTCACACTCATCAAAAGAACAAAATTATAAGTCAATATGAGCTGATACGCTCTGCAGTTAAAAATTTTATTTTTCGAATTATATGTTGTAATATCCTAAATAGACTGAATTACAGTAACTTAACCCTTACCAATGAATGTGTGTTTTAAAATAAATGCAAGAGGAGTCTATAATAATACTTAAATGTTATGTTGAAAGTAATTATTTGATAACGCATGAATGAATAAGTATGCTTCATTAAGAAAAACAGATATTTCAAAAGAGGAATTAAATTAAGAATCGAAACAGGAAATACTCTCATTAACATATAAAATTTAGCTTCAAGGCAAAAAGGTTTTTGTGAGTTTCAAATCATTTTTGCAATTTCTGTTAATCTTTTGCATACTCAGCAACTATTGTTTGATGTTTTACTACCTTTGCTAAATAAAATAATATTGAAAGAGCTTCTTCTAATTAGCAACAATGTTTAACGAACAAATAACAGCTGATCTCTCTCCAATAATCCTCTGTCTAGATACTGCAAAAAGTAACAGTTGTAGACACAAACTTGTTAACAACTCTAACTTGATGACCTAGGATTTTTCTTTGTAATGTCGTGCTTGTGTCTGCTTTTGTTTTATGTTTCTTGTTGCTTTTTCATGTTTAGTTTGTTGTGAGATGCAACTCCCTGTGCATGCAACCCCCATTTTTGAGAAGGGTTTTGGTACTCAATTAATGTTAGGTGGCTCCACAAGACAACAGATGTTACTGTACATTGAAGAGAAGGCCAAAAAGATTCTGGTAGTGGACGAATACAATGCTGTTATCAGGCACATCAAACAGGTATGTTGTCCGCGCTATATCTGTTGGCTTTATTCTTACTGTTTCAAGAATGACCATCCTTAAACTTCTCCTCATAAAATGAGAAGAGAATCTTAAATTAAAGAGATGAAAATGAAGGATTTAGTCACTTAGAGATTTCCCTGATCGTAGACAAATTATCGTAACTGATGTCACAGAAAAACATTTGGAAACCAATGAGGAAAATATTTTTGTCGAACATAGGGTTTAAGATATCACAGAAATTCACCACTTTGACAAAGTGAGACTTTCGAGATTTTTCATTCTAACAATAAATTTATCCTTACTTCGCAATAGATTGTTCTGAATTAGGGAAATCTGCAAAGTTTCATGAGAATCTAAAGCAAAATACTGAAAATTTTGTACTCCACCTTACCAATATTCACAAAAAAATATCAATTTTGCGTACAAATGTGGATGAAGGGGTGAAGGAGGAGGTTTTCATTCCTTTTTCTATTCTTGCAAACTTCGGGTTTGTAACTTTTTTCGAGAATTGCTGGATGTACTGCTTTTGTTTTTGAATCATTTTTATCCTTTTGATTTATGAGTAATTGTTATAAAACCTTTATATTTTGCCGTTGTAGTACCAAGAAGATTCAGATGTAGAATCTCTTGTTAATAAACTGCTAGCAATACTGGACAAGCCAGAAAAGGCTCTTTTGTTGAGAGATATCAGGTAAGGAATCTTCGCCGTCATTGCAACTATCTTCGCTACCAATACAGGAAGCGACAAGTCGCTGTAATAATTCGCATCATTTGACAGAAAGGGGAGGGGGGAGGATGGAAGAATCTTTATGAAAATCTTTTTCCCCGTTTAAAGTGACCCAACACTAAACCGAATTGAACTCGTAAGTAAAGTATAATAACTGGTCATTCTCTTTTCACACGAAACGGGAGCGGACGATTTTTAGGGGGATCACATGGTTTCAGGGGAACACTGGGGGATTAGTCGTTGCTAACAGAGTCTAGAGGGGGGAAACTATAGAACATTGACTGTCAATGAACAGCCGATGGAAGGAGAAAATAAGAATAAGAACTGGAAGATCTTTTAAACTAATTAACCATCTTTTTGGCATGATAAAAGAACCTAAGAGAGCGTGCAGTGCACCCTTTAGCAGGTGATAAGTGGACTTTCACTCCCCGTGTACGGTGGTGAGAAAAATCTTTATCAGAGTGTATAGATTTAATACATGAAAATTCCCCAAGAAATGATTCCTCTTTGTGAAAAGATTACATGGAAAATGTGTTTTATATAATTTGTTGAATTCATCGACAGGACGTTAGTTTTACCCTACGACCTTGGAAGGTTCGATGCTATGGTGTCAGCGCATGAAAAGGAGGCATTGGAGTACCTCAGTGGATTCGTGCCCGGTAGGAGCAAATAATCCCAAGATTATTTCCAGCATATGAAAGTTCTAGTGGTTCTGAATTCTTTGTTTGATGCGATGTTCATGTTTATCTCTCTTTTCTAAGGTTCGCCAACCATAATACCTACCGTTGCTGAGAAACCGAAACGTCAACTTGTGGCTGCAATTCAAGGTAGTGTCCTAGATAAACGGTTAGGCAGGGGGTGGGTCCTTATCATTAGCGTTGCAGGACGCGCGTTTCTTCGCCTGCCGGAAGATTGGAGACGAGTCGGGGATAGTTTTACCGCCACTTTTCCACAGGCGAAGAAAGGCTCGAGCCGAAGCGCCACTAACGTGGGCTTGCATTGCTCCCAGGCTAATGAGCGTTGAGCTTAAAATTGGCCTAGTTTTTTGTGTGTGTTTTGTGCGAACACATAATGGCAGTTCGAGGTTAGGGAAATATCTACTAGGAACTTGTTTTAGTGATATTCTGTTCAAGCATTAGGCGACACGCATTCTGCGTGATCTCGGATCAGCGAATTGGAGAATTTATTTTGTTTGAAAAATCCCTCCTTTAGTTGAGTACATTTTTAGTAAGGCGTTTCAAGCTGGTTTGTTCGGTAAGTCATTCAGTATGTCTTCAGAGTTTTGATTCCATATCGTCCCGTTAATGAACAGACTACATGATATGACGTTTATCCGAAGGCTCAGCAAACTTGTTACACAGATTTTAGCTTGAAAGAGACTTTGCAAACTTAAATAAAATTCCAAAACTCAGGATTGTCGTTCTATTTTTTACACCTATACTTTGCCTCCATTTTTCAAAGTGAGCGATCCTTTGGGGGAAGAAATAAAGAATATTCTTTCAAGATCATTAACGTATAATTTCAGATCAAGCAGGGATGCCGAGAGGAAACATTTTAGTTATTTAAAACCGCAGCTGTTGGGTGCCGTAAATTGTCTAAAGGCAACATAGCCGTAAATAAGTAATGACCAAGATAGTATCTTACATTTCAGTGGATGGAATATTTTGCTTTGTGCTCCAGTAGATAATTATTTTGTTTTTCGGTAACGAGAAGTGCCTGCTGTGAATTGTTCTTAGGCAGAACATCCCACGCTCTTCATTTATCATCTTTTAACCACAAATGTGTGTAAAAGGGGTTAAATATTTTAGCGAAAGCGCTGCGCGGGGAAAAGAGTTCTTTCTAAGTTTACTGGGTTACAATTTTAATCGACTATTTTTGTTACTTCACATTCACAGACAGCAGAGGGAGTTTTCAATTAAGAACGAAAGAAGAAGTGGAGAAAATCAAACAGGAAAAGGAAGAGATGGCAAAAAAGCGAGAACAAACGGCCTGGCTGGGAGGCAGCATTCTCGATCGACATACGAGAGTCCCAAACAATCCAAACGCTATCATACGTTTACCGGAAAACTATAGAATGGATTCTGTTGCTGAGAAAGATTCGACCACAAGTAGCAATGCTCCAACTTCATTTGATGTTCCAGTGATACAGGTGAACAACGGCGAGGCGTCCAGAGGAACGAAACACGATGAAAACGACAATGAACGACTCGTGGCGTCGAACTCGCTCCTTGTTCCCGACAGAGTATCGATCGAGTACAAGGACGACGAGGAAGCAGTACCTGCAGCGTTCACTTCATCAGGGTCTCCTTTTTCAATGGCTGTTCCGGTTATATCCGTTTCCAATGACAACAAAGCAGTTACGATACTACTCTCGAAAAAGAGAACAAGTTTAGGTAAGGGACTTTTTATCCTCCGAAATTTAGGAAAAACCAGTGTGTTCATATTCGAACTAATCCACGGAACGTGAAATCCTATGCGGCTTTTTTTCTTTGTTAGCAATGATAACATAGGGATCGCTTTCATTTGGGTTTATTTATTCATTTATTTGTCTAGGTATAAGTATTTCTGGAGGAAAAGGCTCCAAGACGCAACCCGAAGTCAGGGTAGAGAAAATTTTTCCTGGCGGCGCTGCAGCTGATGATGGAAGACTCAGGGTAAGGAGATACAGACACATTTGCAGTAGATTTAACCTGAAGTCTGGCCTTTTCACTAGCCCTTCGGCACGAGCGTTTTCTTTTTTTTTTTTTCGCCCGCGGGTTAAAATATGAGGCCGTGAACAGTCTAGCACTGATCATTATTAGCACCAGACCTCCGGCCAACTTCTCCCCGACTCGTCTTAAGTCTTCCCGCGGGCGCTATTAATGAGGGCTTGCGCGAAAGGCTACAATGGATTATTTTCTTTAGCAAGTGAACTTTTCATAAAGAAATGTTCGCCATGCGCAGTTGCATCCGGCTTGTGAAAAGGTTGGTATATGAAAAATTAAAACGGGCTTTGTGCTAATGCATCATGTGTTATAATTCCTTGCCTATTAGAGTGGTGATGAAATTCTGTCAGTGGACGGCGAGAGCCTTCAAGATGCTACACACGCCGAGGCTGTGGATATCATCAGAAAGTCGTACAACAACAAGAGCAAGGATGTCATGGAGATTGTAGTGATACCCAAGCAGTAGCAGAGTTTTGTGAAGTATTATTTTATTAGTATGGGGTTAACTGGGTTAACTGTACGTTGGACAAGCACAAAATCACATGCTTTCAGACGCGTAGTAAAAACAGTTTTACACAATTTAGTCTACTGTAAGAAAAAAGTATACTTTCTCTATTTGACAATCACTTCGGAAATTCTATCCGTTTAGCCAACATTCACTTTAATTCGTGTTGAAAATTTTCCCGATCAGTTTCCAGGGACTCATTGGAAGGCAGTGGTAATTTCACAACGTTTATGTTTGGAGTTAGACTGATTTTTTAACACAATTTTCTGCTTAGAATAACCAGTAACAATAATTTTTATGAAACATCAACTGATTTTAGATCAAAGTTTTCAAGAAGTTTTCCAAGGTTTGCTCAATAATTATGTCATGTAGCACAACGCTTTCAGCCAGAATTGTAAATACATCAAAATGGTTTTAATCACATCACATTTACCTATCGCCCCCTTGCGTTCCCAGCCGTCTGCTTCTTGCCACTAAGAATCCTATTTATCCAACGTTCCTTAATACACCGCTGGCTATTGAATCGCCTGCATCTCTTAGTTTTTAGAATCGATGCATATCACAATTACTTTTGTCTGTTTGGTTATATAACTGGGCGCAGGACGTCTTTTTAAAACCGAAAAAGAGCGCTAAACTCATACTGCCACACGTCTTACGTATTTAATGAATGAGTTTGCCATCGGACATGCAGTCCGTTTCAATTGAGCTGGGCAGCCATATTGGACTTTTTGAAACTGCTGCATATGTTTAGTCAGAAAGGAGTGATTTCTCTTGTGTAGGTAACTTAAGTAAATGACTTCAATGTCGTTACCGGTCCCTCTCCTTTTAACTCTCCTTATGCGAATGCGATAGAAACCTTGGGGTGCAGTTGGAAGAGAGAGCTTGGGAATAAGTTTATAATCAGTTAAGAGAGAATTTTACAAAGTTTCTTTTGAAATTTTTTTAACTTCTTAGTGTTAAAAAAGGAGTGATTAAGTTTAAACTGGAAAATTTTTGTTTGAAAATGAGTATTTTACTCTAGAGTTGCCTTCTCTCTAGCTGTGTTGCTTCTTAACGAGAAAAATCTACTATTTCAGGCAGTTTTCTGCTGGGTGCGTGTCGTATGTGTAGCTATAGGTGGACCCGAAGTTCCCAAGAAAGGGTTGTCCTCCGAATTATTTTAATATCTGTTTTTAGAAAAATATTTGCAATAGTGTTTGTTCAGAGATTCTCAAATTTGGGATTTGTTAAAATATCTCTTTTTTTGGTTTCGTAATATTTGAAAAAACGACTTTTTTTTAATTACCCCATGTTTGTCAACGTCGTTAAAATTTTGAATACTGTGTTGCCCAAGAAAGATTTCATCACAGATCAGTAAAAAGAGACCTTCTAAAAAAAAAACTTTTGTTTTACCAAGTCCCATTGCAAAAGACAAGATCCAAGAAAAGAAAAAAACAAAAAAGAAAAAAAAAGAAAAGAAGCTTAAGTCAAACCAAACCTTCAAAAAGCTTTAGCTTGTAGTACTTGTTGCCCAAGAAGTTTACTACAAGCCTCGACTCGATGCACTGATCCCAGCCGGTTTACCTAGCCCACGTACAATCATATTCAATGAAAACTGGCTAAACACACCACTTATGTTCACACAAAGATCTCCACTCCCCCATAAACCAGTGAAATTCATCTATTCATTTCTTTCTGGGGCAGACAAGAGTCTTCAAGTGACGAAATATCGTCTTTTTTATGAAATGTGATATTTTGTCTCGTATCATTAGTGTGAAAATATATTTTAATCATTGGATTAAAATGAACAGCTTTCTCGGTATGAAAATGATTCGGCCTCATCGTAAACCGATCATAGCGTCATATTTTTGTAAGATAAAGTGGAAACAAACTTTCTATAACGTACGATGTACATTAATCAGTAGCCATAATTTGCAGTAAAATTCGATATTTAGCAGAGATGTTGTTGATCTTGGTTATTCATTTTCGGTTTTGACATACAAGGAGTCCTTACTTGTCCGTAACAAAGTATACTCCCAAACCCAGAAATAATTTCCCGTTCATACACTATAAACCGTGTGAAAAATAAAATTAAAAAGACTATCTTTCTACTCTGTTTCTATTCTACCACATCGCCATTCAAACATCCACCTCACTAAACTCACGAGTAAATGACCAGAACACAGGACAAATCAATTTCTTTTAGGAGTACTTCTACACAATCAGAGGAAATCGAATATTATCCCGTTCCAATTTAGCCTTGTTACAAAAGTAATAGCAAAGATTGCACACTCCCAATCAATCTAATGTGTCACGCAATCTGGTTATCATTTCGCGCGATTGAAGTAATAGAACCATAGAGTATCGACCCACATTTTCACAATACTATCGCACAGTGAAAAAAGGCGGCGTGCATCACTCCTTGCGTCATCAAAGGGAGCTCAGTCCCAGGCTCTGGCAGACGAAACGCTACGAGGAATTCAGATACAACTGCTCACCTTATCAGTAACCGAGCACTATTTACACGATTTTGTTCCTTTGCTTTTTAACCAAGACGCAAGGCAAAATAAAAATGCTACAATGTGCCATGAAAATGGTTGCACGGTAGCACTGTTGTTTGGCCTAGACAGGTGCAGTACAAACTATATATTTTTTTGATAAATTATCCGCCATTATTATTATTATTATTATTATCATTATCGTTATCATTATTATTGTCCTCGTCATCATAATCATCATTATTATGATTATTCCTTGCTCCCCCCAAATTTCTCTCTCGCTTAACAGGAAAGGGTTCCCGGAAGGAAGCTCGAAGCGTTTGTTCAGGACCTAAAGACTTAAGGTCTTAGCGGAGGGAGGAGGGGAAAAGTGGTACAGAAGATTACTTTACAAGGCTACACTGATAAGTTAGTCAGACCTTTAATATCCCTATTATTTACCATGATAGTAAAATAAAGATACAACAAGGCGCTTTGTCAACGCATTACAAAGACGTGTCCAAGCTAGAGCTTCCCACATAGATGATCTATGGGACTCAATTCGTAGGGTGGGTGTAGAGATAAACATAACAAAGTTCCTCAACACACGATGGTAATAATCAGGAACAGAGTTTTCTACTAACATTAAAGTTAAATAATTATACTACACTCAGTTCAACTTACATTAACACCTTTAAATACTTTGCTAGGGATTTAAAATGTGAAGGAAAAAACGAGAAAAAAAACTGAAAAGAAAAACATCAATAATCTTTAATCATAGGCTCACAAGAGCCATGTTGGAGAAAAGTTGCAAAACAATACTATCGGTGACAAAACATAAGGTTTGGTTCCCTAGTGTTGTAAGTGTAACACTGCCATATTCACTGTTCTTGCTTAAGAAAAACGACGATAAAAAAACAAACAAACAAACAAACAAAAAACATTTGTTGAAATGGACATTTCACCCTAGCCACTGACTCTCTGAACCCTTAAGTAATTTCTACCATATCCCAATAACAGTACCATTGGTTTTAGTCTCAGTTCAGTCTCGTTTGTCTGGAATGATGTTTTGCATGTCATTAGAAAGATTAAGCACAACAACCTTAAAGAGCCATTTCTACAGTTCAAAATTACAGCTCGAAACCAACTAAAGAGACGTTTCTCACTGAAAAAGATGTAAAGTACAGCTTCCGTGACACGTTTTCTCTCTCCAGACTAGTAAACTAATACTCCCAACCAACAGAAAAATATTCTTTTTTTTAACTACTACAAAGATTAAGTATTTCATCCAAACTGTACGATGATTTTCTTACTTCTTATTACCTAACTGTTTCACAGGGTATCAAGCCTGTAAAGAGAATTTAAAGTGTGATCACTAGTGGGGTGGAAGAGTTAAATATTTGCTGCTTCTCTGTGGACACACCATGTCCATTACAGTCAAGTCATGTTGTTAATTAGTTGATTAACTTGTTAATGTGATACATGTTTAGTACATTGTTGAAATCTGTGTTTGTGAGCTGTCCACAAACTGTTTGTGCTCATGAGTTTCTTGTTGGACCTTTTCACATCTCCTGGTAAGATTTCCTCTTTTTGTTGTCTTCTTCACACACTTCATTCCACTTTACAAAGTTCAAGTATAGTGAGTAGTTAACGTTTTGTCGTAAAATAGTATATCACCAGGTGTAGAGGAAGTTCATGGCTTCAACTCTCCACCTGCTGTCTTTGTTGCTGATGCTTGCTTGGGTCACTGTCGCCGCTCTTTCTGCAGAGCTGTGCAACTTTTATTTGCCTCCTCCTCCTCCCCTCCCCTCTGTATGGATTCCTCTTTCGTACGTAGTGTCTTCAACTGTTAAAAATTGATCTGTTTGTTGTCTTGTCTGTTCCTGATCTCTGTCTCTGTCTTGTTTGGAGGCCTATACAATTTTTTCCTAAAACATTTCAGTCCAAGAACACAAAGGATAAGAAGGAGGCATTTCCTTAACCCCTCCTTGAAATCCATGAGATAGTCATTCATATGTTCCACCTTACTTTGATTGCTTAGCTGGTTTCTATCTTAACGTTTGCGCGAAGTAACAAGTCTTGTTTTGAAGTCAGACCAGTGATGTCCTTCCACTTCCATGATTCTTCACTGGAATGTTTCCTGGTTACGTCAGTTTTAGTCACTTGTAGATATTTCAACAGTGTGTTCCTAGTTTAATCTTTCCAAGGAGAGCCACACACCTCCATAGCACTGCACAGATTTCATTCAGTCATGGTATTCAGTTGCTAGGTTTATAGATACACGTAAAGAACGAGGCACAGGATTGACAGATTCCATTTACAAACAAAAACATGACAGATTTTCTTGATAACTGTAACACATTTTATAACACTTTGACATAAACAAAAACAAATAAGTCAAGTTTTTTGTCCATTGTAGCTGTTTGCTATACTGTCTTGTCCAGTTTCTGTTAGCACTTCTTGAAAACCAATTGACACAGTACTACACTTGCATCCTTGGTACAAGAAATATGAAGATCCAGTGGGATACACCATTATCAACCACTCAGACACTTCAGTTTCATTTTTCTTCTTCTTCATCATCATCATCATCATCTTCTTCCTCAACTCAGATGGTGGGCATTTCAGGTCTGCACCAACACAGTCCAGTTGAAGGGAAAAATTGTCTTATTAGTACTTAGCATTACTCTATTGTTATATTGCTTAGTCTGTTGTTAGGGTAAGATTTCCTCTGCACAGCCCCATACTACACTATGCATACAGTTCTTAGTTAAAGGAAACAATAGCAAGATTGCATTCAGCGCTAAGACTTTATTTGATAACAGCATGGGGCTGTACCAAAATTTTACCATTGTTAGCAAATTACTGTTAGTACTGTTTATAACTTTTAAAACTTAGCTGTTACATATATGTATTTTAACACAGTGTATCACACAGAATTGAAGCAGCAAATGGATTCTCTAGTAAACACATTGGCAAGTTCAATTCATCTTGTCTCATATGTAAATTATTTGTCTCAAAGCTAAAACAAAAAAATATATAAAAATAATTGATAATCTAACTGTTTTTTCCCTGTTAAATTATGTTGAACTAGTAAATGAATACTGGCAAGACTGTGAAAATACAGTTTTCAAATAATTATATAAATTTCCTTAAAATGACATGCAACACCATCAACTCCTTGAGTTTTAACTTCAGTCTTATGTCTTCTGTCTCATGAATGATTGTGCCCCTCCCTCAAAAACAAAAACAAAAACATTAAAAATATAACAAAAAATAATACACCTCCTTGGGGATAACTTCCATGAGTTTATCAACCACAAAAAGGATTCTTGGTTTGGCTTCGCTTCTCTTCTCTTCTCTTCCACCATTCACTGTGAGGTCTGCTTCCAAAAGCTAACCAAACGTGAAGGCTGTGGGTTATGCAGTGTGCTCTACTTTATGATAATGGTACATTGTTTTAATGACTATTAGTGTGATAATTTTCTATACTTCTGTTATGTTTTGGCTTGCTCGACTATTTACCTTGTGCAATTCTGCCAAATAATTGTGCTAATTAACTTTCTTGTGCTACTACTATCTAATATATCAGTTACAGTTGTTAGTAAACAAAAGATTTGTTGGTATATGGAATGAAATGAGTGATGTGACTGTGTTTCTCCCTTGTCAGTCTTATCTGTCATGCTAACCTAAAGAATGGCCCTTTTAAATGACAAAACATTCAAACTTTCCTAATACAATGGCTAAGGTGAAATATCCCTTTTAGGCAGTCTTTTGAGCAGGGAAATGTCTATTGACAACCCACTTACATTGATATACAACAAAAAAAGAAGCTTACTGTATCTTAAGATTGTTTACAATTCACAAAAATAACCTACAGTTGTACCTTAATAATTACGCTCTGTTTTTTAACAAGCAACACAAAAGCTTGCTTGAAATAACTCGTACCAAACGTCACAGGTCATTCCAAGTGAATTCTGTCCAAATCATCACAACAGTGAACATAAAGAGGGAAGAAAAGTCCTGTAAAAGTCTATCAGTAAGTCTAATTGAGTACTGTCAAAACCATAGTTGGTTAATTTTAGCACATTGTTTAGTTCCTATTAAGAAAATTCAACATATCTGGAGATAGACACCCCAAGGGCTGCCCTGGTGTTTCGTTATATCAGTTTTGTCACCAAAAAAAATGGAAAAAAAAAAAATGAAATGAATTTCAGGTAAACACACTTTTCCTACATGTCATATTACAACCACAAAAATAACAACAAAACAAAACAGAATGAAAAAAAAAATGAGAATACCCTTTACAATACTGTCACACTCAAGCAAATGACTCAATAGTGTCCCTAATTATTCCAAGGGATTCGTGGAGCTGTTCCTCTGTGATCACCAAAGGCGGTGTAAAGCGAATAATGTGATCATGAGTAGGTTTAGCTAGAAGACCATTATCCTTCAGTTTTAAACACACCTTCCAGGCATCGAAGTCTAAAAAAAAAAGATAAAAGTTTAAAAAATTACCTGGTATATGATCTGTATTAGTCACATACACAAGCCTATGAAAATTGATGTAATTTAAGAGAAATTTTGTTCTGACAATTTCCTAGCCAATGACAACCACAAAAATGTCCACTTTGCACAGGGGAACTTAAGATTTATGGCATTTACAGTGTGTTGCATCAAGGCTGAAGTGTAATTCTTTGTATCAATTGCTAATACTCTTTGAAAAACAAGACAACCTTGAGAAACTACAGAGCAAGGACAAGATTAGGAACAGACTACAACTAAAAGTAACATCAGCAAATGGAGCTGAACCTCAGCTGTAGTTAAGGGAAAAAATTAACTTAACTCTTTTTCCATACAACCCTTCACATTCCCTGTTTTTCATTTTTTTGGAGTGTTTCATGGGCTTGTTGTTTGAAAACATTCTATGTTTCAAAGCTCATATTCATGATTCTGTGATTGAAGTGTGGACGTCTTGTATTCTGCAACATACACCTTTACTGATAACTGACAGGCTATACCAGCAACTAAACTACTCGCTACATCTAGTTACAAGCGTGGCTTTTATAGGTATGGTTGAGGATCTACAACGTCCTGTAACATTACAACAGATTCTATTTATATATTGATTCAGGGATGACTCAGCATGACACAGGTACTTCTAGAACATTCTTGAAGGTCACACTACAGTGATAATTAATGCTTGCAAATCTTACCATTTGTTGGTATTATCTCTATAGCATTCATAAGTCCCTTGCCACGAGCAGTCTTGACAACAGCTGGGTTCAGCTTCTTCAGTTCTGGAACCATGATGTCTCCAAGCCTGGCAGCACGTTCAGCCATTTTTTCTTCTTCCAAAACCTACATGTGTAAAACACAGCAACTTCTGTATAAACTTCTACTAATCAATTACAACATACACTTTTCTACAAGTCTAATTGGCACAATGAAGACTTTTCTTGACCAGGAACAAAATAAGCAGTGCATGTCACAATATCACTAAAAGGTAAAGATAGCATACACTGAACCACAATGAATGGTTCTGAATGAGAAAAAAGTCCATCTCATCTCTACCCTTCCAAAAAAAGTGCTGCATTCACCAAACAGTTCTTGAATAGGAAAAAAGCTAGGCAGCTCGACATGAAACCAAACACTCACTATAATTATCAATAATATTCATGATTCAAAGATTGAACTTTATTCATAGTATCTTAATTTCATATCTTACTTTTAAAGCAGTTACAGCCACTTTGCAGCCAAGTGGGTTTCCACCATAAGTTGAGCCATGCTGAAAGAAAAGCAAAGATTACCTCACTGCACATGTAGCATTCTTTTCATAAATACTGGAAGAAAAAATATAGAAAATGACATTATGTCTGGCTAGAGTTTTAGCATTACCTGTCCTGGTTTGATGGTAAGCATAACTTCATCATCACAGAGAACTGCTGAAACCTAATAAAACACAATTCATCAAAGGAAGGTAGGGTTTGATATAGAATTTCCTTTACAACACAAAAAAAATATAAAGCAGCAGTGAGTTCAAATCTTAAAACTACGCAAGACTTGTCGTAAGCCAACATCAATAATTCTGTTTTTGGTAAAAGAGTTACCTGGCCATGCAGGTAATTCTTTCTAACAAATCCACATCAAAAGGTACAAAAATGATACATATTCAGGGAGTAAAGGATGGTGAGCACAAAAAACCAAAATTATTCAGTAAAAATTTCAATTGAGGAGTTTTTAACTTAGGGTTTGTTTCATTAAAAGAATAAATATGTGTAGGGGGCGACAGGCCAAGGACACAAGATGTAATGACAAGTCTGAATGTAACTTACTGGGTAAACTCCACCAGAGAGAGCTTTTCCAAGGACAACAAGGTCTGGTCTGACATTCTCATGATCAACACACAAGCGCCTGAAGTCACAAAATTTGTTAGATATTAGCCACCAAAGTTCTGAGTGAATACAAAAAAAAATTTACTGCTGTGTAGTTATTTATTTTGAGTCATGTCAGGGTCAAGTGGAACAAAGCTGTAACAATTGATAGGGTAAGCAAAAGCCAAAGAGCTGAGAACAGACAAGAAAGGAACGAGGCTGGTTCAGGACAGAGATTATAAACACTGACTGCAATGGAGAAATTTATTTAAAAACAAAAGTCAACATAAAAAAAAGTGTTATTACATGAGAACAATCAAAGAAATTGCAGAAAAGACCCTTGGGAAAATTAAGGCTTTGATGGAATTCAAACCTGAGCCTCCAAGATACTAGCTAGATGCTACTAATCATGTACCAACTGAGCTACAAAGTCATATGTGGAGTGGCAAATTTTAATAGGTTATTTCTTCTCGTAAAGGAATTGAATCCCAATTCAGTGAAAGAAATGACATTTCATGCATATATCAACCATAGGCCAAAACATCATTTGTTTCAATTAAAGGTGAAACTATTTTTAAGGCAACAGGGCTTCGGCACTTTAAAGCTCTATAACAAATTTAAAGGATATTTATAACTACTAGTTAAGGTATGATCATTGTGCTGTACAGATTGAAAATGAAAATTACCAAGACATTTCTCAAAAAATATTACAAATTAAGTTAAAAAAGAAAAGACAAGATGTTATACTGACTGCAACACAGTGCTCTTACAAAAATAACATAACAAAACAGATACACACCTTCCAGTTCTCCCAAGGCCAGTCTGTACTTCATCAGCAATGAAAAGAACCTGAAACATTGAGTACAAGCAACAAATGAGCTGCTTATCATCAACTCTTAAGATTCCAAAAGCAGATATTTCAGTTAGGAATGATTCCAAACACAGGATGTTTTAACTGCGGAAAAATTACTGCTCTTGACATTAACAGAAAAACAACACTTGGGATTGCCATTCTTTTTTTATTACTGATCACAACCTTTTCCTGATTTTTTCCTACACCTTCTTTCTCAGACTTAGGTTGGGAGCAAAATCACTTAGCCTGAATAGCAGTTTTTGTCCATTTGCTTAGAAAATGTAGTCTTCTAAACACCCTCTGAAAATGTTAAGCTCAAATTGATATTTTAAAAAAATTACCTACCTTATAAGAATTTCACTAAGCAGAAAACTCCAGGCATTTTTAGCTTTATACAGGACTTGAGTTTCAGTCTGTAATTTTTTCTGGTCTTGAAAATTAGGTTCCAAAATATCCATGTTTTATTTTAAGACACTGTACAAACGGTCCATTCTTAAAAAAACAATAGTAAAGCTCTAACCTTGTACTTTGAACAGAGCTCTCTAACACCTCTCAAGTATCCATCATCAGGAATCTTTACTCCAGCCTCTCCTTGTATTGGTTCCACCATGAACGCACACGTGTTTGGATCACTTATAGATTTCTATATAAATGCAAGGAAAACCAGTCCTAAGCTCAAAAAAAGTGAATATAAGGAAACCATGTTGACTTAGAGTAGGCTGAATCAAACAGTGGACCCAACAACAAGGCTGTGCTCTAAGAAAATTTTTGGGGAGCCCAAATGGCTCCTAACTATTCCAGCTAGGGTGCCCAGCCCTCCAGGTTGGTTGCCCAAAAATTAATTAACTAAGAAATTAATAAATTAATTAATCAATCAAGTAATTGATAATTTGTAATTTATTTATTTTGTGTTTTAATCAGTTAATATATAATCAAACCATAAATTTCAATAATTCTTACACTTGCAGGAAAGCTGAGGGATTGTGGAAAA